TTTCATCAATATCTAAGAATTTTCATATCTACATGTTACCATAATTGTCATACATCTCAGTAGTTGACTTGCTTTCTTACTAAACAGGCAGATTGGATGAAAAATTATCTGAAATTAACTTACTGTGATAATCTCTCAGTTTTAATTATTAGAAACAATTTTTAAAGGCAAAAATATTTTTTTAGATCACATGTGTTTTTTATTTGACACAGGGCAACAAATATATTTCTACATTCTGGATTTAAGAATTTATTTTGGTTTGTCTAAAAAGCAGTCTGACATTTTCATACCTTTAAAAGTTAGACAATATTTTAAAAAGAATACATGATATTTATAAAATTTCTAGAAACCAAAGAGGTGAAGAATCCTCAAGTTTTTTTCCTTCTGGCTTATTATTTTTTCCAGCAACATTATTCTTTAGCTATATTTCCAAACAGCTTCCTTCTTATAAAGTGGGAAGCTTTTGACTAAAATGAAAATAAAATGTGATAATTTTATTTTAAATGCCAGCATTTATGAGAAATTAATTTTAAAAAAGAATTGCTGGAAAAACACAAAGTTGAAATTGCTTTCTGAGGTCACACTGATGCTGTAATCAGACTTTCTGTGTTACAACTCAGAAAGGTCCATTTGGGGTCATTAAGGTGACATACTAAACAAGACATGAAACATCTCTCTATTCACTGGTAAATTTAACTTTTGCTGTATTATCTTAGATCCAAGAACACCAAGTTTAAAGAAGTACAAATCTAAAAATACTCGCGCATGTTGGGGAAATTATGTAATTTTCATGCATTACAACAAATTCTGTGATAAGTAGGAAGAAATACCAGTCTGACAGGTGCCTTATGTGCACCCAGAACTTTTTCCTGAGCCTCTGTCCCTGGCTGTACCAGTGGTTCTGCATGCAAGGAATCTTTTCTGCCATCTATTGCCATATCCCCTCCAAACCTGGACCTGAGCACAGCTGCCCCACTCTGTCCCCACACATCTTGCTTGTTCCCTACAGAAAAAAAGACCCCATGAGCACACCCTCTTTTAACAATCCCCAGTTTTTATTGTAGTTCTAAGTCCTGGCATGTCTGAAACCTCTCAAATCCTGAGGAAATCCTGCAGAAATTCTTCTCCATCTCCAAAACCCTCTTTGGCTTTCCAGTTTCCCTGATAATAGTGATGCTCTTTTCATATGCCCACGGATCCTGAGAACAGCTTGACCAGGGCTGCCTCTCATGTTAGCCTGGCAGTGAATTTCAAACAACACCCAAAGGTGCCCAAACAGGACTGTGTAAGTTTAAAGTGCTCTGGAAATATCTGTCTGGTCTTGTCAAGAGAGGGGAACCCCATGGCAGTTCTGTACTCAGAGAACTCAGTCTGTGAGCTGGACCCTCAGCCTTGTCATCCTCAGGATTGTACTAAAGGTCTCTAACAGCTGTATTCACCCATTCCTGCCTGCAAAGAGGAAAAATACCCATCTGCCTCTGTGTTTGTCTTGAAGCAATCAGTTCTCTGCACAGCTTTCAGCACAAAATCTTCCTGTCATTGAGGAGTTTCTAGTTTCTCCTCAGCTTTCTGTTCTGCTCTTCTATCCTTCCCATCTCCCTCTTTGCTGGAACATTTCTCACCTCACTTCCACTGGCTATGATAAAGTGCCTCTCTTTCTGCACCAATGGCAATGGAAAGCAGCCATGCAGAGACAAATAATGAATGCACACTCACAAATTGAATTACTATTATGAAGCTGAAGCTAAAACTAAAAAAAGGTTACTCCAAAAGAACTGCACTAAGAGATGCATACATTTCTTACCTTTGTCTTCTCTGCTGGTTTTCACATCCTTTGCTACTTTCTTTAAGGAGGTGATAAGGATACCAACATCAGCACTGTGAACTTCACATTCAACAAAAATGTCAAGATCATCCACAGAGTTCTTGGGCTTTTTGGCTCGACGGGATTCAAAGTGATAGATTTGAGTTTCAAACATCTGCAAGAGCCAAGTGTTCATATGATGAAGCTTCTCCAAAGACTGAAAATCCAGGTAAGTCTAGACACACTTCTACAATGTCTTTAAAAGGTGACTAAAAGAGGTATTAACTAGAAGTACATGTTAAGCAATGAAGTCCAATAACATCTGGTTTACAAAGAGCTAAAATGCAGACAGAGCTAAAGATTAAACACTATAGCATTGGGGAGAGAAAGAAGGAGATGAAAGATGAGATACTGTTGACTGTAGAATTTCATCTGTGCAGAAATAGCAAATGAGTGGCTGGGTAACTTAAAACCCTGCCAGAATGAAAGCAGATCTATTGATGGATAATAGCACCATAATCATTAAATAATTGTGAGAAATAAGTAACAAGCACAATACTTTTCTTTAGAGTAATTCATTTTCCCAGATAAGAGTGAGCACCTGGTAGGGGTACTTCAAGTGTCCAGACTACATAATGCCTGTGTGGTTCACAGCTCTTATAGTCTTTGTATCTCCTGCCAAATATGCAGAGAAAATTCACTGGCTTCTAACATCCCCACAGTCTGAGTGCTTGAAATGCCGGCCACCACAACTGCTAGAAAGAAACAACTGATTGGTGTCTGCTCTAAACAGCCCTTGCATGAAATGGTAATGGTGATTCTTCTAAAACACTGTGCCCAGATTCTCCCCCCATCTCCAGAGCACTCTCCCTCTTCACCATGAGACCAGCCCAGCCCTCTGAGCAGCTGGAGCAAAACCAGGACAGTGGGAAAGGGGGAAGGCAGCATGAGGTGTAAGCCAGGAGAAGGGTGAGAGGGGGAGAGGTGCAGACTGTGAGACATGAAGGCAGTAAAGACAGAAGAGAGGGCTCAGCAAAGGAAAGGGACATTGAGGTCTGTACCTCAAAGACTTTGGCTGCCTTAGAGAGCTCAATCTTCTTCACATTGTAGAGCGTGAGGGTCAGGATAACAGATGCTCTGCCATCCTCCCTGTTGGAGTCCAGGCTGCCTTGGCTGCTCAATGACTGTATGCCACACATCTCCTCCTTGTTGGCCTCTTCTTTTGGGCCTGACATCCCCACCAAATCAGTCTTCATCTGGAGATAGGGGAGTGGATTGCAACAGCCAGATATTGAGTGGAAACTGCCTGAGGGCGTGGGAGCAATGGCCAGGGGAATTGGAGATGCACTGTGTCTGTGTGTGGTGAGCTCAGAGCTGCCAGGAGCAGGGACACAAGCTGGCTGCTGTGTGTTAGGTGTGGGAGCATTTATGTTGGCTGTGCTAGGCACATCAAGGGAAGCCACCTGCGTAGGATGTGCGCAAGAGCCCAAGATGGCCCTCCTCCCCTGGGCAACTTCAAAGTGCAGTCCTCCTGCTCTGTTTGAAGGTGTCTGCAAGCTGTTCAGCCTTGGATAGGGGTTCCTTTGTGGAGATGCAGCCCATTAGCCTGAGGTCCATTTACATCTCCCAGTCTGGACTGACCTGCATGGTGTCTGACACTGTCCTTCATGCCCACTCTGTCTCACCTCACTGGGACCCTCTCTGGGTTGTCTATATCCCCAGTGAACCAATGGGCTCCTCTCCCAAATCATAGCCCATTCTGAGTGTTGTCTGCTCTGTACAGACACAGTTCTGGAAGTGCCAGAGACCTCAGCCAGAGTCAGAACCCATTGCCTGTTTCTGAGCTTTTCCTGCCCACAGGATCTGAACCTGTTCTATTCTACCCTCCAAGAGAGGAGTGCTGTCCCCAGGCTACATTCCTCTGTTGGAAGTTGTTTCTGTCATGATTTTATCTCCAGTGAAATAGGCTCTCAAATAGACCAGGGTCACATCTTTCTTGTGGGTGGCCCGATAAGTTCCAGAGGGATTTAACTCTGCTCCTGACAAAGCAGGAACATCTCCCCTTCCCTTACACTTGACATTAAAAAAATTATTTCTGGATATGAGCACCCATATCTTCATACCTCAAGTTACAGTGTGCCAGACCCCCTGTGAAGGTTATCCTGCAGGTCCAGAGATAAGACCACCCCTGTGGCCTCCCTTTCCAGATGGAGCCATTTTTTATGTGCTACTTAGCTTATCCTGGCTCAGCCACACCCCTAAGTGTTATTGTGCTCTTACCTCTTCCCTGACTGAGGGAGTTAAATAAAATTTTGTTCTCTAGGGATCATGACAGCACCATGTCTTCCCTTGAGTCAAGACAGAGCACTGGGAAGGTCTTGATTTCCTCATTTCTTTCCTTGCTGACAGACCAACCCAAGGGGAATTTCGCAGCACTGTGCCCAGGAGGGAGGTCTCGGCATCCTGGGGAATGTTGGCTCCTCCAGACCTCAGGCACAGTGGGCTTTGCAGGGTGTGGTGAGTGCCAGCCTGGGAAGAGGGGTGTGCCAGCCATGCCCAGCCCAGGCCCAGGGGCCATGGGGCAGGCCACTGTCTGCCATGCAGAACCCACCCCTGGCAGAACCCATCCCTCATGAACCCTGCAGCACCCTCCAGGCCTGGCTTGTGTCCCAGGCGACTCCAGGAGGGCAAGGGGGCACCTCAGAGGTGGTCGAATGGCAGCTGCAACTGAATTAGTTGGGTGGAGAAACGGGCTTTAAGACAAAAAAAGCTCTCCCCACTCCCACGTTCCCCCAGGAGCGGTGGCAAGGTTTGGCACAGGAGAAGAAGGCCATGTCTGATCACCACAAACAACCTGCCCTTTTTTTTAATCTGGTGCCATTTCAGGTGTCTATATCCTGTATGAGAAGAGGGCCACTCATTTGGGATGGATGCAGCATTAATATTTTTAGTTTATTTAGGTTAATTTAGATGATTACATCTGAACATCAAAATGTCTTCTCTGACAGCTGACAGCATAATCTGGATATGAGAAGAGGGCCACTCATTTGGGATGGATGCAGCATTAATATTTTTTGTTTATTTAGGTTAATTTAGATGGTTACATGTGAATATCAACATGTCTTCTCTGACAGCAGACAGCACAGGGAGCTGTCTGCTGTCAGAGAAGAGTAAAAAGAATGCATTCCCTGCAGCAGAGGGAGTAAAAAGAATGCATTCCTATGGACTACTCCTGTGCTTAATCTCTTTTTCAACAATTTCTGCATTCTTTGGGACTAAAATGTCCCTTCTCCAAGGCTGCTGTCAGATGTAGGCATCTTCAGACACCCAGAGGAGTCCACCAGGTGTCCTTCCATCACAGTCACAGCTGCTGTCAGATGTAGGCATCTTCAGACACCCAGAGGAATCCACCAGGTGTCCTTCCATCACAGTCATCGCCCTGGGCCAAGGTCACTGAAAGGAAGGGGTCTCACAAAAAGCTTCTTTGATCACCTGAAACTGAGCTGGAGATGAGGACACCAAAAAATGTGATCACAGTGGGACAGAAGTGAGGAAGGTTACCTAAAAGACTAGCTTGGGGTAGGTTAGTCAGAGTAGCACCCAAAGACTTCTGGAGTATGCAAATGTAGAGGAGGCTGGGCGTGGCTGTGCATTTCTAAGTAATGGCACACATCAGGAAGTCCCATAATCTAGGCTGGATGAGTGACAGTCAATCAGCCCAAGAGAGCTTTTTTTCTGCTCTGGGGAGCACCTCAGATGGGCATTACCTCCTACCAGAGTATTTAATTCAGGTTGACTTGGATGCTTACCATACAAGGAGGATTGACATTGGTCCGATAATGCAAAAAGCATTTTCCTGCACAGCTGGAACTTTCTTTAGGCATGGAAATAAGAAGTCACCCATTAAGGAGTACTATTTAAAATGTGATTTATTTGTAGTATTTAAAGTACTTAGGTACAAGATTATTTATTCTGCAAGAAAATCTACTTTCCATACATTTCCTCTGCTTTTAAAATGCTGAACATTTAATTTTTTCTCATTTGTCTTGCTGAGCAGCCATGCTATGCTGCTTTGGCTGGAGCTATTGCTTATTTAAACCTGCATTAGGGGACAGAGAATCAGACATGTGGCATCAATATTCTCTAACTATTCCACTTGCACATAAAAGAAAATCATGAATCCTAAGCTCTCAATATCACTGTAGAACTACTGCTGCTGTCATTCAAGCCAGAAGCAGAGGAGCTTGGAAAGCTGTCTGAGGATTACTTTGAAAGACTTTACCCTTGGGATGAAATTGCCTCTTTGTAGTATACAGTTACCTCATGGGTCCTATTATATTAAGAGAGAAAAATATGGGCTACTTTCACACTGAAAATACATGTCAAGTGGGATTGAAAGATCTGGAGAGACATTGTGATGAGAAAGAAAGGAATAAAAAGATACTGAGATAAAAAAGGTTACTTCAAAGCACCAAAATGATACCATTTTGCATAAATATGTCTATTGAAAAGCATTCCAGCTGGTATCCTTAAATTAATGTTATTACCTACCATATATGTAATGAAAAGAACTGTACTTTCTATCTTCCTAAAGGATGATGCTTACATTAAAGCCATATTGATTTTCAAACTATAAATACAAAATTAGTACTATCACAGGTATGAGACTTGTGGCCTTTCAAATCCCTCTCCATCTTTCAATCTTCTAACAGAAATGTGACCCCCCCCAAGCCATGTTAGTGTCGTGATGCAAAATTACTTCAAGCTGGAAATGCAGTTCAGCTTTGCTCCATTCTGCTCCAATGCTGAGTTCCCTCCTTCAACCAGGGAGCTACAAGAAGGAATTATACAATGTGGACCAGTCCAAGAGGGCACTCAGTTGATCGAGTGAAATTTATTGGATAAATACAGAAAGAGCTTCCTGAACAGCAAGACTCTTCTCTCTCCATGCTCAGCTGCTGAGTTAAGCTGGAGCCACCTTTGGTTCCGTTTCCTGACACAGTTGAGATATACTTCAGGAAAAATTAAACTGCTTTCACCCCCCCAAAAAAAGAGGGAGATTAAAGCTCAAAAGGGCAGTGGAGCTACAAAAAAATTACAAAAAAATGTCATTACTTAGGACCTGTTTTGAAACATAACATGTTTGGGTTTGAATGCAGTTACACGGAACACAGCTGACCCAGGCCTTCCATGGCTTTGGTGGGGACTCTAGCCACAGACAGACTGAGTTAGGAATTGGAAGGCTCCAGCACCTTCAGCTGCATTGTAACAGGCATTTCCTCTCAATTTCCAAGCTGCTGGTATCCACCTTCTAGGCTGTGAGACCTCTCTCAGGGAAGGACACACAAAGAATGCAGCCTTCACACACCAGCCATCATGTGAGCAGATGAATATGCCTGTAAGAGAAATCTCCCCTTGTATCCTGAAAGATCTCCCTGTGTATCCTGAAAGGTGTAGAGTTCCAGACTCCATGGGAACCTTGGACAATTGGGAGGCCCTGAGTGGAGAGTGACTTTGAGAGAAGGCAAGGTGGATCACTCTGTTCATCATTGGCATCCCATCCCTGGTCCCAGACCTCCCAGGTGCAGCAGATTATGCTCTGCATGGTGAAGATCTCCTTCTGCTAACCTTTGGCACAAAACATGCACAGACTTCCCCCAGGTTCCCAGGAATAAGGTAACTTTTATACGTTAGTGAGAAAAAATGGATTAGTGTCTGAAGGCCAGAAGAGTTGAGAGTCACCTATAGATGTCTATTTCTCTGCTAATCTCTAATAACTAAGATTTATAACATAATTATTGATGCAGTTCACTGGAAGATAATAGACTGAGGCTAGATCAAGACTGGCACTTGCACATGATAGCTTCTAGTCACTAGCAAGTTACAGCAAATCTTCATTTGATCTTCTGGAGGGCATTGCAAAGGATCCCAATCTCACCTGCAAAGGAAAGAATCAGAGCAGTTAATTCCAGAACTAGCCCATTTCTAACACTCCTGTATGTTTTTTGCCCTTTATATCCATTCACTTAAAGAATAAGGTGAGCACAGAAGTGCTGAACTGAACATGTTTATTAGAGTCTTACTGGAACTAGGTCTGCAGAGTCATCCCTTTGCCTTCGGTAGCCAGGCTGGCTCACAGGATCAGAGGAGCTGGCTCTCCGCAGGCCAGCCAATGTGAGGGGGAAAATGTGATCAAAGCCATGCTTCTCCTTCTCTTCCTCACTGAAAACGGCTAGGATCCACCTCAAGGCCATCTGCCATTTCCTAGCATCTCCCCCAAAACTGGGTTTTTCAGATTTAGCAAGTTACAGTCAAGTGGAAATGCTTGTTGAAGCTTGGCTAGAAATTGGAAGTATTTTTTTCATGAGAAAGGAGATATGTGCTGCCTTATCTTAGATAGGGCTCGGAACATAAAATGCAGCCAGATGGAATCCGCCTTGTGGTTCCCTATTTCTGACCCAAGTTTTGAGGAATTCAAGGTAACAAATGTGCAATTCCTTACTATTGATCGTGTCAGCTAAGTTCTTCAGCTGCTTTGCATTGTCCAAGACTTCAATCCTCTGTGTGTAGGGATTGTACCGAACAGAGAAAGGACGAGGGATTGTTTGAGCAAATTTCCTGAGGGAAAAAACATAAACAAATGTACAGTTTAATTTTTTTTTTCCACCAACTCTTTTCTTTGTGTGTGCATTTGTTGATTGTGGGTGAAAAAATCTATGGAAGGATATAACTGAAATTCCTGCTGACTGATCTGAGACCTACAATGTTCTGCAACACACTTGAAATTGCATTTGTCCTTATCACCTCTGTTTTTTTTCTGAACAGAACTAAGCTATTGGCATGGCAACACTGCCCCTGGTATAGGCCAACTATGTAGCAACTGGGATCTGCCAAGCTTGCAAACCTCATTTTCCTTTCATTAGTGCAAAAGGTAGGAATTCTAATCCAAGTCTGAGTTTCTGGGGAATTAAGGTCAAGGATCTATGTCAAGGAGCAAGCAGGCACCTAACTTCTGGCATGGCCTAGCTCTTAAATTACCTGGTGGTTTGCAGGTAATTTAAGAGCTAGACAATAGTTAATTGAGTAAAGCAGCATTCCCTTCTGCAAAATAGTTAATTCCATGTCAAAAGCATTAAGACTTGGGTGTCTTGGGAAAATATTAATTTGCATAACCACAGAACTGCGGAAAGAAGGGCTCTGAATGGGATGAGATGGTCAGAGCTATTGTTCCAGGCTCCTTGTAGACCCCAGCAGGATGCTGGCTTATATATCTGCTTTGTATTACTGAAGTTATTGCTGAAAGAGGAAGGGAAGCACGCAGGAGTTGATTATGGAGCCCCACTACACAGACTGTGACTCAGCAGGGTAAATCCCATAGGCCTAGAACAGTGGAATATGCTGGAGATGCCACCCCCACAAAGTTTCTTCAGTTTAAACCTTATTATTAACCTTATTAAGGACACTGTCTCAAACAGAACTCAGTATCAACAGGCCACAAGGTGTGACGGTGAAAAAATATTACGTTGGTTATGATGAATTTAGCAGCATTGGTCTAGTTTTTCTAAGAGGAAAGATCACATTAGAAGATGGCTTTCCTAAATCTCAGATGAAGGTAAGATCCCAATTAGAAGATTAATGTCTTAAGCTGAGATATTTTAGGTCAGTCTCAGAATTATTTTTCAGAAAGGTATTTTGTTGCCCACAAACACATATGTCCAGATGCAAGCCTCTAACACAGGCACCGGACCAAACCCCAGACCTTCTGTTTCAATTTAACCACTTTTTTTCAATTTGGTCACTGAAGCAAATAAAAAAAGCTCCAACATATTTTGTTGCAGCTAAGTGAGGCAGCATTTTCCACACCCTCAAGGAGCTTGCTGCTCAGGGATACACACAGAGAAGACAGAAGCTCTGTGCAGGATATCAATAGCCCAGCCCAGAAGAGAAGGCCATCCTTCCCAGGTATTTCCCCAAAGAAAAAGGCACAAGAAAAAGCTGCCAGAGTTATGACAGCTAAGGAAGCAGCAGGGCAGAGAGCTAGGAAGACCTCAGAGCTGGGGAGACTTCAGAGGAAAAGGAGTAGATACTACGAGGATTTTTTTTTTTACAATAACTGTTAATTCTAGTAATGGTAAAGTTACTTGGTTTGCATTAATTAGCCAGATTTGACTTTAAATATTAGTATCACTGCAGTTGAACAAATAACCTTTTTTTTTTTTGGTTAGACAGATGAAGCTCTTAGTTACACTAAGCACAAATCTTGGATTCAAGCATAAGGTATATTCCTATTACTATTCATTTTTGCCCAAGATTCTGAGGCTATAAAACGTTTATTATGCTTTAGCATTGCACAGATTTTTCTAATGCCTCCCAAAACATGATTGTCAACCCAAGACCTATAACGGCGATGAGATCCACTGCCTTTGCAGCAGACAAGAATGAGTTCTTCTCTGGAATGACTACAGTACCTTAGCTTTTCTTTTGCATCTTTAAAACTTTCAGCAACATAGTAGATAGGCTGGAACTCAGTAACACAGTACTTCTGCACAGAAGTCTTCTCCAGGACAAGAGGCCGAATCTCAGGCTTACTTGATAAACAATACTATGAACAAAAAGGTAAGAAATTAATTTCAGTGTAAGAGTGTTTGAACATGCTGCGAAAAAAATCAAGAGCAACTCCATTTCAGACAGGGAAGAGTTTCTCCTGTGGTAGACAGTGATAATGTCACTGGGAAAGAAGGAGGTGTGAATTCCTTGTGTATCCATACACCTACACATTTATCAGAGCTCTACAATGAAATACTACATTTCATCCTACTTTTGTGCACAAAATATGAAGCAAAATCAAAGATCTGAAGCTGTTCAGAAAAGAAATTTGAATAATTATAAACGTATTTGAAATATTTTCTAGAACACACCTGCAGCTCCCCAAATGAAGACAGCAGCCCTGCACCATATGCCTTGAGGGAATCTCCTTCCTTACAAAGTCCAAACTCAACTGTAAACCAATAAACCTGGAAAGAAAATGAGACAGAAACTTATTATTACTAGATAAAAAGTACACCATTTATTTGAATATATTTAGAGTTTTCATTTCTATATAAGATAATGGTGATATGTGTTAAATTCGAGTGTATAAATGCAATAAATGTCCCTTCAGACTGAAATTCTTCTCCTAGGAGAAGCACAGTACTAGATTCTCTGTGCCTGAGAATCAGTTCAGTTCCATGACGAACAAAGTTTGTGTTTTACTGTGCTTATCTTCGTCAGCAGGAGCAATGAAATTACAGCAATAAAGCTTTATTTTGACTGGCCAACCCAGTGGAAGTTTGAATTATTTTAGAAAAGTTTGAACCTTATTTTAGAAAAGTTTGAGTCCTGCATCACACAGGGCATCTGACTGCAGCAGCGGTGTGATCAGGCTGTTGGTGCAATAGGGGAGGAAGATGGTGAGTGGCCTAATTTGACTCCTGTGTCTGTCCTTTTGAAGGGATATCTGCCATGGCTCAGAAAAAACTACCCTATCTGTCAGAAGTGTCAAAGCTGGTGGAATTCTTTGCCTAGGTGGCCCCCATTTGGCACTGGGGACACTAATCTCAGAGCAATATCCCTGATTTTATTCAAAATTTGCAGCTCTGGGTCTCAGTAGTAGCTATCCAGGTGATCTATGTTGACTATAGAGGATAGTGCCTGCCTGGCAAAGTGGAAGAGATGCTTGAAGGTGAAATAGCTACAGAAGCTGCCTCTGAAATTTCCTGTGGGGATGTAGCAACATATAATCTCATCTTGCCCAATATGTTTGTGCTGGAGGAAATCTTGTTTGGACTTCTGTGTTTAATCACAACTGTCACTTTGAATAAGGGGTGCCAAAGCTATTTTCCTTCAGCACAACTGTTTCAGGGTAGGGTTTTCCAATCATGATCTTCACTCTGATCCCATTCAGCTCTATGGGAGTTCTATCAGTGACTTCAGTGGCAGCAGAATTAAGACAACACAGGGCGCTTTGGAAAATTGAGCCCTCATTTATTAAATTACCGTAGCAAGTTTCTCGATGAAATCATCTGGAGCTCCCAGAGATGCCAGTCCAATTTCCTGTAACAATAAACCATTATTCTTCAAGCTGTTTATTGCAAACATTCTTCCTGCCTCGTTTTATGTAATTGCTCACATTTTAAATGTTACCATTGCTTACTACCACACACAAATGTTTACAGGACATGTTCCTATCATGCAAGATCAATTTTAAACCAGAAATCTCTCCAAAAATGAACAAAGGGTCTTGTCCAAATGTCATTTACAAGGCATGATCCTTTGTGCCTGGTACAAAGCCCATTGAGGTCAAATAAAATTTTCCTCTTGCTTTGACAGGCTTTTGATCAAGTCTACAATGAACATCTGAGAGAATGATAGGGACAAAAGGAGGCAAATCAATCACACCTACACACCTTATATATTTCTCTTTGTTTTGATGGGTCTGATTAAAGGAGTTCTCCTGGAGCCCTGAATGAGCTATTTTTTTTGAATGACAGGGCATGATTTGAAAGAGCTTATTCATACCTTGGGAGCTAATGAAGATTTTTCTAGGAGGCATGAAATAGCTGGATTCAAAAGACAGACACATGAGACTACATATAGCCAGGTTCCTTTCTTGATTTGCTCTAGTGAGGACTGCATTGTGCAAAAAATCAGAGGGCTCTCCCCACACACAGCAAAGGCATTAGAGGAGCTTATCACCATGTCATATCCTAGGAAGCCAAGGTACAGTAGGGCTCATCTAGAAGGAAACACCAGTACTGGAAAGGGCAAAGCCTAAAGGCAATACTGAAAACTTACTAACGAGATCAAACTGACTTTTGTCTTTTGAGATGTTGCATCAAGCTTCCTTCCTTTCCCTTTCCTTTCCTTTCCTTTCCTTTCCTTTCCTTTCCTTTCCCTCTATCAGTCTTTATGCCTTTCTAGCTTTGTGTATTTCCATGTTTTCTGATAGGATGCAGCCAAAACTTTACTGCTTCACTGGAGTTTGGCTTCTTTTCCAGAGACATTAACACTACCAAAAAGAAATCTCCTCTCCAGCCTTCTCCCATGCTTACAGCTGAGACAGTTCATCACTTTACTCAGCCTCCAATGTCACTTCAACAGAAAAAAACCAAAATCTCCATTTTCCCTAACATTTGAATATCATCATGAGGTAATAATCCATCTGACTCATGAGCTATGTGACTTCACTCAGAAGGATCTGCAGGAAGGTTTTAAAATGATGGCTTCACAGGGTCTGTCAAAAAGCAACTCACACAAGATCATGTTTGGAGTTGGACTTTATGTTTTCACCTACGTGAATTGTGTTCAGATTTCAAGCAATAAATAAACCACCTCAGCCACTCTTATACAGTATGCTTAAAGGCAAATCTGCACCACCCTTCACAGCTCTTGGACCATCCTCTGAATTACTGTGTGTTTAATTATATACATAATATAACCATTGAGTAACTTACCTGGGAAAACTGAGCAAAACTGGGATCAGCAAAAAGAGGCACGTGTCCTAGCAGCTCATGACAAATGTCACTGCAGGAAAACATGACATCTGAACAGCTGTGATTCAGGAAAAGTCCAGCAATGCTGGAATAATGCCCTAGAGCCAGCACACAGTCCAGAGGTCAGTGCATTTGCTCCTACCAGCAGATACTGTTCACAGGAAAACATTTTGCACTGAAATTATTCTCGTGGTGGAAATGCTTGCAAACCCCAGGGCTTTCTGTGCTTTTGTATCATACATCCCCTCAGCAGCAGGGACTGTTAGATTTTTCAAATACAGAAAAGTGATTTGGCGAGATGGAAAGGGGAAGGGGATAAGACGTCCAAAAAAGGCCTGGAAGACCTTTTTTGAAGGAAAAAAGGTGGAAAAAAGACATTTCAGCATGGCATGATGACAATGGGGTAAACAAAACCAGAATCATTAGTAAAAAGTAAAATAAAGGTAAAAGAGTTTGTGAAAAGTAGGAAGAAAAAAAAAAACAACAAAAAAAACAACGCCAAGGAAAAATTGCAACAATATGAAACAGAATAAGAAATCTGTTTTTAAAATGGCAGGGGGAAAAGCACAGTTGACAGGGACAGAGAGAAACACTCCACAATGAAAAAGAGATGGGTTCAGTGGTCTGGGCTTCTCCTGTCTCACTGCCAGTAGCTTGCTTGCAGCAGGTTATGTCCTTGCTGCACTCCTTGGTGCTAATGGTTTAGCTAAGTGCCCTTGTACACTGCTCTCTTGCATCCCAGCCACCACACAAGCAGGCCTTCAGTAGCAAAACTATCTCATCTGCCCCAGGAGAACCTGCAGAAGTGGCTGCAGACTGTTAAACACACTAGAAAGGCTCCATAAATGTTTCCAGAGGAAAGTAGTCCCTTGGCTGCTCTCCCTCAGCCCTGCTCCCGGGAGTGCTGCCGAGTCCCAGGCAGCAATTCCCAGCTGTGCTGACCCTGCTGCTGGTGTGCTGCAGCTCTCAAGAGTACCCTTTGTGTGCCAGGGTACTCACGGCTCCGGGGTGTACATGGGCTTGGAGGCGTGGCGGATGTACTGCGTGGAGTGGAACACGCGGAACGCCAGCCCAGCCAGGAAATCCCGAGAGGAGAGCAAGCCTGCCACGGGACGCAGCCGAAACCCAGTGCAGCCTGGAGGGACAGAAAGACAGCACCTTAAAAACAGCTGATGTGTTTGATTTATCCTCATCCAGACTCCTTACAGTGGGAAAAGTTTGTTGATGGTTGGTGGTTTTGGGTTTTTTTTAATCTCTGTTGGAAGCCAGGACACTCCTCTGGCTGCCCTGGACCCTGGCAGGGGGCTCAGAGACCTTGGCACACAGTCAAAGACACCTGTGCCTTCAATTTTAACCCATGGAAAAAATTACCAGCTGTGTATGAAGACGTACAATATGCAAGAGTTTAAGTAGAATGATAGTTAATTTGTCACAGGGTAAAAAAGTAGAATTTTGGGGTTTAGATTGGGGATTCAAGAGGCAAGATGGAGGAGTCTGGGTGTGTTCTGTCCTTCCTCCTCCATCTTCTGCTGTGATGGTGGCACTTTTGGATTGGTTTAGAGTAAAGACAGACTGTCTATGATAGGTGATAGGTACTGGGAAATATTGGTAAATAAAGTACACGTAGTTCTTAGTATAAAATATTAACACCACCCCAAGGACAGGGCTTCTGCTGTGATGGTGGCACTTTTGGATTGGTTTAGAGTAAAGACAGACTGTCTATGATAGGTGATAGGTACTGGGAAATATTGGTAAATATTGGTAAATAAGTACATGTAGTTCTTAGTATAAAATATTAACACCACCCCAAGGACAGGGAGTGTGCCATGAACCAACCTGCCAGACAGACCTCAGCAGGCTGGAGAAAGAATGTGTTAGATAAGAGAAAATAAACAACCTTGAAAAGCAGAGCTGAGGAATCTGGCTTCTTCTGTGGTCACGGGGCTGGGAAAAGACTTTAATACCTCGTGAGCCATTTCAGCAACACAAACCCCAAGAAATCTCCTTATGTTAAATAGAGTTTAATTGCAGGCAATTTTCTGACCAGGAATACCACCAACACAGCATCTGAGCATTTTGTCCCATTGTATTCCCAGAAGCATTACAGCAAGACCTGGGACACAGGCTAAGAGATGCACCCAAACATCATAGGAAACATTTGATAAATCAGGGATTGGTTTTCCTTCTCTGGAAGCATCACCCCCCACTGACAGCTGAGGCCTTTCACTTCATTTGGTTCTTTTAGGTGCTTCAAACTTACTCTGCAAGAAATTTGAAACATCTTCAAGCTGGGGAATATTGTCCTCCCTGTAGCCACAGTACTTCTCCAGCAGTGGGAACACGTGGTTGTGTTCATAGCAAGCATGAGTTGGATACAGAGTCTTCAGCTCCCTGAAGACAGTGCCCCAGGTTTTCTTTTCTTCTTCTGTATAGGTGACACGAGGAATAGGTTGGCCACTAGAAAGAAAATGGATGTCCTCAATAGCAGCCACAGAAAATGTTCCATGCCATCAACATGCTCTTTGTCCTTTCCCATTTCCCATGTCCTTTGCCATTTTCAAAACAGTTCTCTTATTCTGCTTCATGTTGCAGCTTTACTAGGACTGGCCAGGAGCTGCTGGTGCAGGAGAGGAGATGTTTTTGGGCTGACACACAAGTGCAAAAGGAGCCTCACTGGTCCCTAGGCAGTATCTGGAAAGGACTCAACTGACCTTGGCTGAGATAATGGCCTTTAGACAGCTCCTTGCATTACTGTGTTAAAAATAAATCAGTGCTTGTTTGTCTTTTAAAGGTGCTCTTCTAAAAATACTTGCTTGCTGTTGGTTTCGATTTATTTTTTTCTTTCTTTATATGAAGGAGCTGTTTTACTTCTTGCTCTAGTGAGCATTATATTAATGGTTTTTGTAAAAACATGAAACCATCAGATCCATAAAACTCTGTTGCAGTGGCAGAGAAATTCTGATCTGTGCTCTGTGCCATAACAGATGCAGACTCCAGCCAGTTTGACTTTTTATAATTGTAATGAGCAATTATCAGTTAAATCCCACCCTCAGGCCTCCACGTGCTTAGCTCATGTTGAAGCTAACAGGAGTTATACATCACAAGCAGTTTGGTCTCCTGTGAATAACCAATTCCTTTGCAATAATGTTAAGGCCATAGGTGAATCCAGCAGCTTTGAAAAATCAAAGGGGTTTAAGTAACTTAATAGGTTTAACAACACTGCTGGAACAATGCTGAAGCTTTCCAAACCCCAGAGACCCATTGTTAAACTCTTGATGACCCCCCACCATCTCTCACTTTCTCTTTTTTTTTTTTCTTGAGCCTCAGGGCAGCTCCTATGGAGAACCATCACCTTCTGTCTCTCTGTATCAGCTCTCCTTGATCTATGGAGCTTTAAACATCATGTTGAATTATGAGGATTGCTGGGTGATTTTTGTTCCTATAGCACTCCTAAACAATCCTCAACCATCTTCGAGTGCTACTGGGGGAAGCTATGGCTTTAAAACCTTTCAAATTTCAATTAAAAAACTGTTCTAGGGATCAATGGAGCCAGAAGCAAAGTAAGGCAGAGAGAAGAGGCAAGCTAAAAGCAAAGAAAAGAGAAATCAGGGAAACTGAGCATTCAACAAAAACAGTAGGCAAATCTATCATGAGAGGAGCCAAAAAAACCAAAGGCAAAGTAGGGGCAAACAGCACAAAGAAAGAGGACAGAACAGATGCAAAAGAAGGGATACAGAAGAGGATTAGATTAATGTTAGGAAGAAGGCAAGCAACCAGTGACCCATCTCATTGTTGCAGCTGTGTAGCACCTTCACAACTTAAGAACCCTTTCCTTTCCTTGAAGCCTGATAACTTTGGTTGTGCCTCTCATCCTGTCCACTTCTCTGTATCTTCTGTGGGATATCTAAGAATGTACATTAGATCTGTTCACATCTGGACACAAAAATCTTATTCAAATTTTCTAGCTATAAACTGGCTTTCTGACTTTTTCACCTGACATTTTATACTTTCCATCAACCAGTCCAATTTTGTTTCTCCTTTTGTGATTACATTATTAGCTCTTTGGCTCAGGGGCTATATTTTGATCCTGTGCAAATTGTAGCCCAAAATTTACCATATATGTTATTTTTTTCTTTGCAAACACAGTTTTTACCAGTCCCAGCAAGAATCAGGTGCAGTAGTACCGATCTATACGTGTGAGTGTCTCTGGGAACAGAATTTTTTCTCCTCCAGATCTGATCATTGAAAGCAATCAAATATGCCTGTTCTAACTGAATTTATCATCTCTATTAATTTATTTTTCTTGGGAAATTAAAGCCTAAATTACTGATTGCAGCTGGATTAGACATGATAAAAGTAGGGTAACAGACACTGGATTAGCATCAGAACCATATGTTATTCATTATTTTAATAGGGTATGCAGATCCTGCTTTAATGTTAATGATAGACACTCCTCCCCCAGCCCTGGTTAAATGGGGAATACCAGATTTATTCAATGCTCAGGTCTTTGTAGCAGCAACAGTCTGCTGCTCAATTAGACAACAAAGCTGGGAAAGAGGGGTGTTGTGGGGAGAGAGGGGAGATGATGTCTCTTCTGAACAAGTGCCTGGAACAATTTACCTTTGTTTTGCTGCGATTTGAGGATAAATGCATGAACAGGAAGATTTAAACACATGGCAGAGAAAAACCAACAGCAGGAGGATGTTTGTGGAAAAGGAGGGATAGGCAGCAGGGTGAGAACCCCAGGAGAGGGCAGGAGATGAGGGCTTGCTTTGCTCCCATGCAGTGGGTACTCACTGTCTGTAGTTGTAGGCGATATCCGCAAACTCCTTCCTGCGGGCCCGGTACACGGGATCTTTGAACCCCTGAAGAGAAACAGCGATGGGCAGTCCATGCAAAACGGCCAGCAAGTGCAAAAGGTGAAGAGCCTTCCTCCCAGTGAGCACACTCAGGCATGGCTGGTGCATCCAAGAAGTGCAGCAAGGTCGGTGGAAAGCTGCCTCCACTCAGCCAGGGCAGCGCTCCTTCCTGGGCTGCAGAGCCACTGAGCAGCCACAGCCTCTCACCACCCCCACCCCTCCAAGTCCTCTCTTTTTCTCATTTCCACTTCATATAAGATAGGGAAATTTGTTCTTTACAGCAACAGCAAGGTGCTCCTGGCAAGAGCAACCCAGAATTATCAGTACTGGGATAACCATGCCCTTCTGGTTTCCCTTGAAGCTTGTTGCTGTCCCTGGCACAGCTGGGCTGCTCTAGAGCAGCAGAATCAAAACACATTAGAAACACATTTCTATCGAACCTTTTAGGCAGATTTTCAGCAGGAACCACACTTTAAAGTGCTCATTTTCAAACTGCTGGAGGATCAGTAGCCACTTAGGAGGCCAAAACCCCCTATTTGTAGTACAAATTCAACAATTTGGAGGCAATTAATGACTACAAAGAATGTCTCATAGACCTTGTGGCTGGGAGCTTGACCTTTGCAGCTAATTAGCAATAAAACCAAGGATAAGAAATAAAACCTCTAAATCTTCATCTGGGATAACCGTTCCTCCACCCCAGTGTGCCTGCTGTTTAGACTAAAAGATCCTCAGGACCAGGAGTGCCTTCACCACCTGGAGTGCAGGAACATCCTCCTTCCAAGCTAGGATGCCCTTCTGCAGGGAGGATAGGAACAGCTCCCTGGGCACCTCAGCAGTCCATAAATGCATCTCTTAGTGGTCAATGGCACAGCTGGACTGAGGGGCCACAAAACACAGCCAAGTACAGGAGGCAGCTGGAGTGGAGTGTAAATTCACGAGCGGGAATAAAAAAGGGATAGCCAACAGCCAAAAAAATGCACTGTCCAAGGTTAACCTGTCACGGAGGTCATTGTGATTAAATTCCATGCCTCACTTTATTAAAAACACAGGCTCCTTTAATTTCTCTTTTTCTGCACTCTATGGACTGTCACCTATTTACCCCAGCAGCTGGCTTTCTTTTTTAAGCACAAGTACCCACTAACTAATTCTAGGAACTGGAGGAGAGACGTTTCATTCCTTTTTATATATTTTTCTTTTTTTTTTCCCTAGGTTCTTTTTTCAAATACAATCTTGGTCTATTCCCACATGACACACAAGGGGGCCATTGGCTCAGTGTATCTCTTTTCATTCTGCTTCTCATATGACCACAGTGAACATCATGAATCATTGTACATGGTACATAACACGTCTTGAATTAAGCAATAGGTAGTGAATGACTAATCACCCCATCTCAATTAAACTAATAGCAGCAATTTTTGGTGCACTGCATGTAATTTATTTATAATCACCCTATCTCAATTAAACTAATAGCAGCAATTTCTGGTGCACTGCATGGAACTCAGTGTGTTTTGACAAATGAAAGTAAGTTGTTGTTTGCTTGGAGAGGGAATAGAGGCAGAAAATATTCTTGTATCTGAACAAAACTGAAAAACCGCAAAACAATTTTTTTTATCAGCTAAGTCAATGAACAAAACTTTCTGATGCTACCATTTAAACCATAAACTTTTTGAACCAAGAACATTTTCTTTTGTCATGTCTCACCATAAAAGTACCATGTCAGGTTTAGTATCCACATAATAATACACTGAGCTAAATCATGTGTATGTAATCAATGATGAAAAAAGTCTTTCTCTGGGCTATGCCATGTAGCTTCTTTTTCTTGTTAGTGATACACAAAGTGAGCCTGAAATCACTACATCAGAGCCTCCTGGGAAGAGTATGCGTGAGATGTGTCCTTGTGGTGGCCTTCTGCTCTGAAAACCACTACAACTTTTAAGATCTCTTGGCATTTGCTCAATTATAGCAACTTTTGGTTTGATTTACTCCATAACCAGGGATTGGGCTGATTATAACCCTAGAAATGTGGTAGCCTTCTTGTCCTGTACCATGTGAAATTTAGTCTACTAGATCTGTACTGAAAAAGAGCAAATTTAAATGAAACATAATTGCCAATAATTAGAAAAATTGCTAAAAAATAATTCTTACAGGATGATCAGCATCCAATTCTGCTCCGTAGCTTAGGATCTGATTGGCAAACCTGTCCAGCTCCTGGATACTTCTTGGGAACCACGGTACTGCAAAACAGAAAAGAAATAGAGACTGGTATCCTTCTTTGTTATTTGATTTTTTGCCTTCTTCTGACATTTTCATCTTTTCATCATATATATATAAAGAAACATATGCAAGGGGCTAAATTATTTCAATTCTTTTCCCTGTAGTAGGAAACAAGAACAAACCAAGCAAGTTCTCTTGAATCTGTGATCGTTTCATACTGTTGGAAGAATACAGAACATCAAAAGCATCTGAATCTTGGTGCAGAGCTGGCTTGCAATGTTTATGATTTTCTGTTTATTACTTCTGGTGTCTTGGCTTATCAAAAATGCAGAAAATTTTCACAATAAGCCAGAATCATCCCCTTCAAAGGAATCACAGGAAACTCCGTAACAAGGATAAAGAATTTTTGGACTGTCTGAAACACTCTTTCTAAAACGTACTTGGTGGCCCCACTTGAGCTAGGATTCTGAAACAAAACAAATGGCTTCCTAATACCTCAGACTAGCACTGTATCACTGCAGTCATTCCACAATAATGCATTAACTTGATTAACTCTCTTGGTCTATTTCTCTGTTGCCTGTAACTCACATGCTATACACACTGTCTCAGGCACAGCCAGCAAGGAGAGACCTTGCTGACCGCACAGTGTAATGCCCATGTGACCCTCTCATTGCAGAAGGACTTAAGATGAGAGACAATAAAGAATCACAGGGATTTCCAGATGTGATATGTTGAGATAAAAAAAGAGTAAGTCAAGTGTCTTCATGGCAATTCAACACAGAGGACTGAACAGGGGCAGCCTCTATCAGTAAAAAGTTTGCAATTAATCAAGAGACTTTCTTGTGCAAATGGGTGTTGCTTGCTCAGCCAGTGCTTGGAAAACAGCAGATTCCCCTCTGTGGCTCTCTGCTCAGCTGGGAGCTCCGCTGCTGGGCCATACCTCCCCTTCTTATTATCAAGTGAACCTGATCCTCGGCCAGCAGCTGCCAGATGAGTTCCCTGCAGTGCCTTGGTAATGAGGCTCATCCCAGACCTGATGGACCACCCGCAGGATAAGAGGATCCCTGTCTCCAGGACTATTCAGCCGTGTTTGTGCCGAGCCTCACGGCACGGAGGGCGCTTGTGGCTCCGGGTTTCTGCGAGGCACCTGCACGGAGGCACTGGAGCAGCAGCAGCAGCTTTACAGCGCTCAATTTGGGGCCCAAGCAGAGAGAGCGCCCATACCCCGTGCTGCTGTCCCATCTCCAGCCTGGCTCCGTGCTGGGAGCCTTCATTTGTTTGCTGCGGGTCAGGAAGATCCCGGGATGCCGGAGCTCCCCGGGATGCAGGGACCCGCTCAGCGGTACCCGCGCCTTCCTCCGCCCGGCACAGGAGGGATGCTGTCCGCCCCTCTCCAGGATGCTTCTCCTTGCCCTAAAAACCAGAGCTGAGCAGTCACTAGATGGCAGCAGCAGACCCAGGAAGGTCCCCAGATGGGTTTCATTGCTGCTGGATGTACCGCTGGTTCTCCTAGCTGCTCCAGGAACACTCTGCCCTCGCCGTCAGAAAGTTTCCTGCACCCCCACCCCTTCACTTGAACTAGTCACAGGGGGGAGTAGAAAAAAGTGTGTTTGATCTATAGAGAGTGGTCACTACTTACATCCATTTTCTATCTGGGTTTGCCTCCTGGCTGTAGCACTGAGCTTTGTGTGATGGTGGGGAATTGCTTCACTGTTTTGTGCTTCAGACTCCCCACTACCAGCCTGGGGTGAGGTGCACTGGTGAATGGTTTTGTGTTAGGCACTGGGGAAGAAAGGCTGCCCGGCAGCCCCACAGCAAAGGATTTGTCAGTGTTAGAGAGAAAACCACTCTTCTCAGGGATGCAGCATGATCTGAAGGGTCCAAGCTGTGTGGAAAAATTGGTGGGGGCTGAAGTCTGCACTGGATTTTTGGCAGTGGTGTCTGTAGGGCTTTGCTGGCCTGAATCAAAAAGGTCTTGCCGGGCAGGGTTTGAACCATTGCTGACTTACTTTCCATACAGAGTTACTTTCATTAAATATCTTATTCTCTAGATTGCCTTAGTACTTGGTGCAGGCCTCATTAAAGACTCGAGGAAAAACTGACTCCAGGCTGATGTAGTGCCAGTCCTGGGTGTGGAGATGGGCGATTTGCTTTTTCCCTAAACAGGAGAAGCAACTTCCTAGCACCAAGTCCTGATCCTGCCTACCCAAACACCAGCAGTAGCTAAATGAGAGCAGCTCTGAGCTTGCAGAATTGGATGGACGTGGCAGGCTGTGGAAGGGAAATCCCAAGGAGACTTAGTGCTGCTTGCACCAGTGTAAATTGTTAAGCTGGGTCCTTGAAAGTGTTGAGCTTTCTCAGCTCTCATGGAAACAAGAATCCAAGACTCTGAGCACAGTTCTGGGGCAAACCCTGCATTAAGTCCATACAGCCCTCACATCGAGGGCCAGGGTGAAGAAAGGCTACTGGTGGGTCTTCTGCCTGGATGCAATGTGCCAGGCCGCTGTCCCCAGCCCTCCCAGAAACTATTCAAAAGATCAAATCAAATTACCCCCTGGCTGAATCTATCCCATATTTTGTTTGCAACATCCTCCTGCAGCCCGTCCAGACTGGCTGTCTGTCTGCACAGCCATTAATGAACTGCCAGGGCGAACTCTTGCAACACTGGGCCTCTGTGAGGGTCTGAGGAGCAAACGTGGGCTGATCAGTAATAAATATTGATTTGTCTGTAAGTGAAACAGCAGCATTTATGGGATGGTGCTGGACACCCAAGTGGTGACCAAATTACCGTGGGGTCAAATGCTGAGCAGAATGCTAATAAGCCATTTATATGAGAGGCAGCAAAGCAGGGCCAGCGAGGACTTCTGCAGAATCCTCCACTTGGACCATTGTGAGGAGGGTCAAAGACAGGTCTATGCAATTTATAGCAGTTCAAGGCCCAGGTTTAGCCTTTTTTAAACACTCTCAAGTGCTCTGGCTAGCCTCAGGGTCTGGCAAACAAGGGTTTGTGAGGAGGGTCAAAGACAGGTCTATGCAATTTATAGCAGTTCAAGGCCCAGGTTTAGCCCTTTTTTAAACACTCTCAAGTGCTCAGGCTAGCCTCAGGGTCTAGCAAACAAGGGCCCTACAGATCCTCAGCTCCCAGCTTGTTTCAGAAATGCAATAAATTGTCTGCATTTCCCTAATGCTGCAACAGAATAATATTTAATTATTTTTATTCATGGGCTCCAAATGGACTGCAGCTACCATCTTGTTTCCAAAAAGAGCCACTAGGAGATGTGCTGTGTTTTCACAACAAATCTTTCCACATACACAAAGAGCTTTTGGCTCAGCAGCTGCCAGCCCTTCTCATTTGAAGCTCCAAAGCTACATTTGGATTTAGAACACTTTGCTGGCCTGCTCTCACCTAAAATTACACTGTTGATCCAAATCTGATATTTCTAACCATTGGAATGTGTCAATTAAATGTTGTATTTAGTTAAGAAAAGGTACTAAAAGCAGTTAAAAGGTCCAAAAAAAAAATTAAAAGCCATTCACTTATCCCTTGCCCAATAAATCACACAAACACAGTGTTTAACACTGAGCTATACAGAAGGGACAGAATGCAGAAATCTCCTCTGAGCGCCAACAAAGCAGTGCCCCAAGAATGGGACTGTGTGTTTTCCACAGGAAACAGAAAAATAAGGTTTTTCTTTTTCAAATCATGAGCGGGAGCAAAATAAATCCTTTGCGGGGAAGAAATGACAGCATCCCAGGCTGCAGCAAAAGAATCGGTCCCATGGGATCCCAGATTGCCTCTGGAAGAAAACCTTCCCAGCCTTTACCTGCCCACTGAGACAAGTGTGGCAACATCCCCATAAACCATCTGTCTGAGATTTTGCTCCCTGGAGGCACAGTGCTCTTGTTCTGTGTTTTGGGAATAAGATTTCACACAGGCACATCTGTGGACTGTGACCAGATTTGCCAGGAGGATACATTTGAAAGACAAGCTGGCCTAAAAGGCACCACAAGGCCTGTTATTTGTTAATGTCCCAGATAAAGGACAGCATCTCGCCACACTTCCTACAGCTCGGGCTGTTCCCATCTCACTCTGCCCTTGCAGTGCCTCTGCCCAGGATTTGCCACCCACAGTTCATCCCCGAAGCAGGGCTTGTTTGACCTTTCAAAATATGGTCCTTGGAGGATTTCAGTTTGACTGGACCCTTATTGCTCATGAGAGGAGTTGAAATTGAAAAAGAAATGAGAAAAGGCAAGGAAAAATATCAATCTTCCCCTCTCTCCTTGGCAATAAATTGTTCTCATTTTATAATATTTCTGAATTGCTGAAACTAACAAACACAAGTTATCCTCTCAGACAGAAGAGGATCAAGTCCCTTTTTGAAGCACTGACAGGATAATCTAGCTCAAAAACTCCTTTGATCAACACAGCAACATGCAGTGAAATCCTAATCCTACAGCTGACCACAGGAGTTTTGACTTCTGTGAGGTCAGAATTTCACATGCAAGACTTTGCTGGATGATATTTAGAGCTGTATCTCTGTCTGACTCTGGCAAATGTTTATAGACAACTTTATTATTTCATAAAATTCTTTATTACCTTTTTCATAGTAACTAGAAAAATGAATGTTAAACCCTGGTAGGTCCTGTAGCTTTCTTCTGGAAATAAAAAAGCCCCCAAAAGTGAACCTCTTCGATCTGACATGATCATAAATCACCTAATCAACCTTTTGTCCCTTTGTCTATGAATGGAGAAAACTGACTCCAAAGAGAATCTGCCTTCTTCTTTTTCATCTTCAAATGTAATGTCATGGGTAGGACACAAAGGAAATGGTAAAAGGATTACCAGCACTGATCTCAAGAAGGTATTAATGTCCTTTCATGTTGTTCCTAGGAAGGAAGAGGAAGATCCAGGCCTAAAGTATTTAAAGTCTGAAATCCTATTAAAATCACATCTGTTATCTGAAGAGGCATTTAAGTCTGTCTGAGACTATATGCTAGGCAGCCACCACTGCACCAAGCAGCCTCAACTCCAGCAAATCTCTGAGAATTAGGAGCGGGAACAACTCAAAAAATCTTTCCTTATTTCCCTGCGAAGGCAGAACTGCAACTGACCTCCCTGGGATTTCTTACAGTAATGGAAAGTTAGTCCTGCTCCCACCAAAGTGGGTGGCAGAGCCTCCCTAGCTTCCCAGGAGACCTAGTCAGAATCATGGCAAAAATTTACACTGAGAGAAAATCTCCAAATGAAAACGTTTACATTACAGGAAAAATAGAGAGAGAGAAGTGTAGCCATAAAGACCAAAGTGGATCTCCTTTACTACAGGGGAAATAAGTAATTTCAGTATGTGACATAAACAGTCCATGTCAATGTTAACCTTGTCAGCATATGCTTACCAGTGTCCTTCTTCTTTGTCCGTGAGAGCTCATGGACTGTTGCTCCAATATCACTTCTCAAGGACTTGATGATCTTGTCCAGTGCTGGGACATTCTTGCCTTCCAGGTTAATGAAGAATTCATACTCATCTTTGTTGAGACGGGAAGGTCGGGACTCAATGTGGGTCAGGTTTATACCTTTTTCCTATGAGAAAGAGAAATTTTGGTCCCACAGTTTTTGGGGAAAGGAATATGACATAAAGACCGAAGAAATACATATGTCAGTCAACAAACCATACTGTACCATCCAAATAACTCAAAAGCAGCCACTGGACTTGAGGACTTTCACAGCAGAGCAAGAAACAGAAAGGAAGAATGAGAAATATGTGGGATTCACCCTTGCACAGAGCTCCATCATGAGGACTAGGGACTACTGAAGGCTTAGAGAAAAGTGGAAGCAGGATTCAGGTTGTAAACAGGCTTTGTATTGTAAATGGCAACTCCAGTCCCTCAAGCACATAATGAGAGCTCGTCTGTGTTGACAGAAACATTTCCCCAGCATCGACACAGGAAGAAGGCATTCCACCTGTAGAGCACCTTCTCATGGGAAACTGAATGCAGTCTTGATGAGCATCTTGAGGGAAGGCTGGGTAAGCAGGCAGCTGGGCACCCTGTGAGATAAGCTCTGCAAACCTCTGTGCAGTCACCTGCAAAGCCACCTGCACAGTTTCCAGAGTTGTGAGCAGCTGCTGGGCAAAGATCCAAAGGGAAACATGGATCTGCACTAAAAAAGGCAGCCCAGGTTTGTGCAAATAAAAATATGGGTGTTTAAAATCACAGGATCACTGAGTTTGTGAGGTGCAATGGGACTTCTGGAGATCAACCAGTACAATAATATGCTCAGGTTGCCTGAGCAGATTGCCCAGGGCTATGTCCAGTCATGTTTGGAGACTCCTCAGTTTCTCTGAGCAACTGCTCCCAAGTCTACTCACCCTCACAGAGAAGGATTATTTTCTTTAGCACAGCAATTCAAGTTCTGTCTCATCAAAAATCTTTGCTGACCATCAGCAGCGTCTCCTAGCTCTGAAGATAGAGAGCACTGGTAACTGTAGCATTGGTGACTATAGCCAGTGGGAACCTGACCTCAGACATGCTGCCATGTTGATGTGTAAGCAACAAGTAACTAAAAATCCTATTTTTCCAACAAAAAGCAAATTAAAAGTCCAGGAAAGCAAAAAAAAATGTTTAGAAAAAAACAACAAACCCAGAAAGTCCAAAACAAAAATTCAGGAACATCTAACCCTGTTAACTGAACTAAAATGTTTTCTTGAGCACTATAACTTGAATATGAAAACACTGCTTTTTTTTCCTTGGTGGTTTTTTTTTTTTTCTTTTTGGATTTCTTTGTTTTTTATTTTTCTTTTTTGTTTTGTTTTGTTTTTTTGGGGGTTTTTTTTGTTTTTTTGAGAAAAATCTTTTAAACAGGTTTCCATGGACATTGCCCCTTGGCCATCTTGTCAGGCTCACACTGGTGCTGCAGACACAACATGCCATGGCCAGGTCTGGGCTTCTGTCCCCTCGGAGGAATATACAAATCCCTGGAAGAAATCTGGGCCTGAAGATCTCAGAATCATAGAATCATTACCCTCAGAAGAGTCTGAGAGGCTGACATGTGGTGATCAGCATCCCTGGAGAAACTGTTGATTTTTGTCTTTCAAGCTGAAGAAGACTCCAAACTACATGGGGTGAAGTGCTGGCCCTGCTGGTGTCAATCTCAAACGCCCTGCTACAGTGGGGTCAGGATTTCATCCACAAAATAATGCTATTAGGATCTACTTTTGACCTACAAGGAAGAAAAATGGAAGATTTTTTAACTGTACATCCCTCTTTCTGAGCCTCTTTAGGGTTTTCTTTGCTCCTCTCAGTGCTTGCATAGCGCAGAAGGGCATCTGGCCATCAGCAGCAAAGGCCTGATTTACTCCTCCACAAAAGGCAGTTTATTCCTTGGTAGGAAACATATATGTCATTGCTCTGTTTCCTGAGCATTGCACACTACAGATGAACTCAAATTGTTTGGCTAGATACCAATACAATAAGTTGAAAAGGTCAAAAGCTCATTCACCAACTGCTGCTCTCAAGAGAAGCCGTCCTCACAGGGCTGTCTGTCCAGGGAGAGAATGGCCAGCACTGTCCTTGGCCCTGGGGACAGTTTGTTTTAGGCCTCCAAAGCCCTGCTTCCCAAACAGACTGCCCATTGTCCTGTCCATGTGGTGAGGCACTGGGAGCTCCTGACAGAGAGCAGGCACAGGGAGCTGCTGTGCCTTTGCTGTGTCTCACCATCCTCATCCTAAAAGTTTTCTTCCTTACGCCTACTCTGGGTCTACACTCTTTTAGCTTAAAACCATCACCCATGTGCCATCACAAAGAGCCTTGCTAAAACTCTGTCCTCATCTTTCTTTCTTTCTTATAGGGCCCCTCTGAGTACTGGAAGGCCGCAATAAGATCCCCCCAGCACCTTCCCTTCTCTGGGCTGAAGGCTCCTTAAACTGCATCCCTTTGTTTTGTGATCAGGTGACTCTTACACTGTACCAGCTCTCCAGTCAGGCTCGGTGAGCAGCTGGACAGACAGCAATGCCCCCACAATAAACGGGATGATGCAAGGGTTGGGAATGAAGAGATAAGCTGCAGGGTAGGCATGAGACATGCTTATGGCAGCAGGAGTTCAATATCCTTCAAACTATCACAACCTAAGACAGTGAGAAAAAACAGGAAAAAAGAAGATGGAGGAAGGAGCCCAGGGAGAGAGTTACCTCCTTTCTTACACCTGAGAGAAGCAACACACCTTCCCACAGAGTGTCAAGCTGCTTTGCTGTTTATTTGAGGGATATCTGCCACTCAGCAACGTCCAGAGCCAACCTGTTACATGTTTTTGCTGAGATTTCAGGACCTCACAACAGCGAAGCTGAAGGGAGAACCCTTCTGGTGACTGTTTATAGAGCAAGAATCCAGCAGCATATGTCCAACTCCCTGAACTGGCACTCCTGGAGATGTGTGTTCTCATGTGCTGTGCCTTGCTACTAAGCCCTTGATTTCAAAATATTTACAGTGGCTCTGTTACTAGAGTTGCTTTATAAATCTCAATTTCATTCTAGTCCTACTACTCCATCTAGTGTTTAATCTTCATAGTTTCACACTGTTCAGAACTTTTTTATATTCTTGATGCTGCCAAATCTCGCTATTGCATCACATTTCTCCCAATAGATGATGTTTCCTTTAAAGCTCCAACTTCTGGAGACAAATAGTTACCTGAGAAAGGAGAATGGGGGCATATTTTTGGTTTAGTTGTACATTTTAAGCAGTTTTCAATGTCTATCTGCTTTTTATCAGAGATTGACATCTTGACAATGTATGCCTTCAAAAGCCAGCTAAAAAAAGTTATTCCAGTTTTATGAGCTATTTTTTGTTGATGGAACCTATCTCCTACCCTAACACCTTTGGAAGATCTCAGCTGTCACATGTTTGTGGCTGGGTTCCCCTCTGAGCTATTAACATGGATCTCTTCCGCCCTTCCTGTTTTAGAGCTGGTAGGGATCAGATGGGCCCATGGAGTGAGATTAGATGTGTCTTTGCTGAATCCACCCCACCACCCACTGCAGCTGCAAGGAACTCAGAGAGCAGGTTGGCACTTCTCTCTTTCTCTTCAGGTTTATGACCAGGAGAGAGGTTGAGTCCCTCCCCAATAGATACATCCTGTCATAAAATCATGTGCCAGTTGTAGGTTTCTTTTTTCTTAAACCTTTCTTAAAACCCTCACTCTGTGGGGTGGAAAAACTCAGCTTTCGTTATTTTAGTATCCAAGTCAACGGATCCAGTATCCGATATCATTGCCCATTAGAGAAGGAAGTCTCAAGATACATTCTCAGAGCTCAAAGGTCAAGTTAGAATTAGTTCTAACAGAGCTTGAGAAGGGGGTAGCAAGACAAATACAAATTTAAAACAGAGGCAATGGTGGATGCAGGGGGGAGATTGCCCATGTCCCTCCCTGCCTTACCTCACAGTGCTGGATATCAGCCTTGGCTCCCTCTCAGAGTCTGTGAAGCAGCTCCAGCCCCTTGCCCAGGTTATTCCAGGTTTTCCATCCTAACTGAGCACCACCTATGCTGCAGCTGCCTCACACTAGCAGGAGAAAACCAGACTGGTGTTGCACTACACCAGCAGTCTTGCTGAGGTCACTACCAAGAGAATTTAGTCCCACCCTCTGTTTAATGGCCTGGGCACTGGAAAAGGAAAGTTGTGTGTTCATGGCTACGTGGGGAAGCTTTCAGTAGGGATGGATCCTTTCTGAAATTGTTATGGGTTACTACTTCCCATGACTCTCACACATCCTTCTGTTCACTAATTACTAAATGCTCCTATATATGGTTCTAAAACTAAGTACAGCTGTGAAATCCAGCTGCAGCTTGTTTCCATGAGTGTTGTCATTATTGAAGTTTGGCTTCATCAGGAGACCCCACATGGTTACCAGATGAAGAACTTTCAACAACACCATGGTGTCACTAATCAACACTAAGTGAGAATTTGGGTAAAAATCTTGCAAAAGAAGGATTTTACTTGCACTTTCTGGCACAAAAAAAAAAATTGTATGTTTTTTAAACCCTTGTTATGTTATAGTTCAGGGTTTCCTGAAGGTGGACACTTCCAGAAGCACAAGTATAAGCTCAGTGTTTAATTTTCATAGGTCAGAGGACTTAGGAAATTACAGCAATGCTTTCAGCCATGGGTTCCCAAAGCAAAGGCAAAGGCAGCCATCTGATGCAGCTCTGCTGTCCAAGGGCCTGTTTCTCAGCTGGAGACAGAGAGAATCTTCTCCTTCACAGCTGCTAGGGTTTTCCTTCCAAACTCATGGAGAAAAAGTGTCTCAGAGCAGGTCCCTGCTAACAAAGTGCTAGAGGGCAGCTGGCACTGGAGCAGCCCCTGGTGTCCATCACTCTGCTCCAACCCTGACACTTGGCACAAGGCTCGCAGCAGAATCTGGCTACAAAACACGTGGAGCAGGACAAACCAAAAACGTGACAGCGTGGGGCATTGCATAAGCAGCTGTGAAGAGAGATTCCTCTCTTTAAACCCATGGTGATCAATTAGATCCAGAAATCCTGCTCTTGTGGCCATAGGAAGAGGAGGGATAAGACCAAGGATGTGGATTTGGAGCAGTGTAATGAAATGATCACTCCTGTGCACATCTACAGTATAATGAAAAAACTATCTTGTGGTAGAGGCAAGCCAGTTCACCTATCACTGCAGACACTTCCAGCACACCCCTGGCCTAAGTGACTGTTTTCTCCCCCTGATATGGAAACAACCCCAGCCACTGCAGAGCCAGTGCCTTCCCAGGGCACAAAGAGAAAACAGTCACGTAGGACCTGCTGTGGAATGAAGCTCCTAAACAGAAACAGAGCAGAGTCACCTCTGCTGACTCTGAAAGTGGCAGGTCTCATTTAGTACAGCTTGTTACTCCCATCCCATCCTTCTGTGGAACAGTAACTTACCCCCATGGGAGAGTGACTTACACTGGGAGCAGGAGTACTTGGTGCAAATCAACTTTTTTCTTTTTTTTTTGCTTTTGAGCTAGAGCCCTACCCACTGATGGCTGCACCTTGCACTGAAGTCCTGCTCTGTATCTGAGGAGGTCCCATCGCTGAGGAAAAGACAGACGTTTCCTCTCTCACAATGGATTGAGCATACTTGTGATGTATTCCAACATTTGCCACTTAAAACAGCTGACAATCTACTACTTGTGAATCCATCAGGAAAAGAACTTCAGAGAAGATTCATGTATTCACAAATTCATGTGGAAAATATGCAGTTAAAACTGAAGACAATCCTTTTTGTATATAGAAATTCTTATTTCCTATATTTTTAAATGATGTATTTAATTACAGAAAAGGCAATCTTTGAAGGGGAACAATGTGGAGTTTTCTTCACCTTTTTTATTTTCAGAATGAACTTTGTTGTTTAAAAAAGCTTCCTCAATTTCAATAGGTTTTTATCACTATAGCGAAACAACTATTTCTACCAAGTGTAACACTTGGGTCAACTCAAAGTGCTCAATTTTGATAAGAAACTTGGAAGATTCCTCTCTTTTTTTGGCCTCAACTTATACTCTGAACATTTTTGATATATCCAGTGAATCAAAAAATAAACACAATTTCATGATGACTGTTCTGTCTTCCTGATTTTAAGCATGATACTTTACTCATGTGTGCTGTTCTGTTTCAGATGAAGGTATTTATTCAAGTTTTGGCTGCCTAGCTGTCATCTTCTACAACACAAATAAGCAGCACAGGGCTACACCAAGAAGTACCTCAGTGTACAGCAGATCCCATTAAAATTAAGTCGGTGTAAAGACCCTGCTGGTGGATTTGTGCTGCCCCTACAGCCACCCCCAAGCCTGCAATGAGGACAGAGGTGACAAAGGGGCTTTTCAAGTGCAAAACAATTGGGTTTGACAAGCAAAAAGTGAATGTCTGCCACATCCCAACATACAAACAGAGCAGCTAGTGTGGAAGCAAAGTGGATTCAGCTGTAGCAATCTGCTTATTGCTGAGCATGACTGAGCTGCTAACACTCCACAGCACATCAGAGTGTGAATCTGGCCCTGCAGACACATCTCTCCACAGGACAGTGAAGAAGGGGCTGCAGGGGCCCTGTGCTATGCCAGCCCAGGAGGAAGAGATTCATGCTGTCAGGCAAGGATGTGCAAAGTAGAGAGAAGGGACAAGAACCAGTGATCAGAAAAGCTTAGAACCCTGCTGAGGTCAGGTGTTTAGATGGGTCTTCCTGAGAAAACATAAGAAAAAAGTGGAAATAATCAAGTATGTTTTGGACCTAAAGCCAGCAGACAAAAAAGAGCCGAGTTCATTGAGAATATTGCTCAGGAAAAAGCCCTTCAAGCTACATAGGAAAAATAAGAGTTGTCACTGTCACCACATACTTGTGTGCAACTGGGACCTGAACAGAAAACTAGAGTTTGGGTCTTTGAGCAAAAAAACAAATGTGAGCATGCAGTACTCTGCCAACTGCATGAGCAACCCTGAGGGATGTCTGAGTAGGACAAACATTAATCTTTCCACAAAACACATTGAAATTCTCTTAAACTTGGAGTCTCTGTTAGAGGACATAATTCTGTGCCATGAGCACTCTGTAGCCCTTAGCCTTGAGCCTCCCCCTACCTGGAGGAGGCTCCCCTACCTTCAGTCCATCCCATAATGAGGCCTTACCCCTTCCATCTGGGCTGTGTTTGGACACTAATTCCTTTCCTGGGTGGTTTGCTCCGTGGGTGACTAGAGATTCTACCTGCCATGATGCTTGATGAGCCAGACGTCTTGTACTTTATGATATCCAGGGGCAGGCCCAGGCTAGAGCACACCCTTTGGTGTCCCTTTGTCTTGCTGCCCATGGAGAACAAGCTGTGGCAGGGGCTAAAGTCTGGACAGTTCCACCCCAGCACAGGAGTGGGACATGGTCAGGGTGTGAACCTGGGAGTGCATCCCAGCAAGGGACTCAAGTGTGGCTGAACAATGCTCCCACAGAGTAAAAATTCTTTTTTTACAGTTCTTAAACCAAGGAGAGGATGAGCCTTCCCAGCTCCACACAGAAACCTCCTCTACAGAAACACATCCCATGTGCTGATGGCTCCTCAAGGTTTCTCCTTTTTTTAGGTATCCCCTCAATTCCCTATGACTCAGTCTGGATCTTCCTTCCATGCTTCTTTCCTTGGGAGAGAGGGCAAATTTTCAAGTCTTTCATATTTACAGCTCATTCAACACTCCTCCTCTCCCTTTCATGTCCCAGACTAGTCTTACAGACTGTCTAGAAAAGAGGCAAAATCCTCAAAGCCGGTGCTGGAGGCACTGTCCCTTGCTCATTCCCAAATCTGAGCTGGGAGGAGGGGTTGGGCTGTGCATCTCCATGCATGAGTGCCCAGAGAGGTGCCAGCAGTCTGGGCACCCCCACCTCAGCAGGGAGCAGAAGCTTTACAGACATGCAACATGTGGCCAGCAGCACCAGCAGCTGCACAAGGTGTGGACCCCCTCCATGAAGTGAACAATTGCAGCACCACATCTGCTCCTGGAAACAGCCTGATCCTATTTGTGGCTTGTCAGTTTTCTCTTTTCCTCCTGCATGTGGCTGCATGAGGCAATGACAGCTGGAGCAGCCACCCTCACATCTCCTCTTGGGAGGCCCCTCTGAGACGAATCCACCACATTTCTACAAGCCAGCAACAAGCTGGTGACACAAACCAGGGGACAAGGCTGGGTGTCTCCCTGCCCAAGGAGCCCACCCACAGAGAGACTGAACTAATTCCAGCAGCATCTCACAGCTAATACTATTAGGGAGTGAAGGAGTACAAGACAAAAAAATTCCCTCAAGTTCTTCCTGCTTGTTTCCAGTCTTTACCTGCCTATCACCACTTTCCCTGTCTGTGCTGTGGATGTCAGTGAGCACGAAGTCTGTTTCTCTCAGGCACCACAGCTATGGCCCAGATGGAAAAGGGGGAAGGTTTTCCCAGCTGTGCATGGATGTAAAACTTACACCTCTGTGGAGTTCTTGGAGTGGAGTTACAACAGCCCACAGGCTGCTCTGGTTTACACCAGGAATTCACCAACAGCAGCCCTGAGGATCTGTCCTTGTACCATTAAATGCCTGCCATCCATCCATCCATCCATCCATCCCAATGCCAAATGTAAAACTGATATAAGAGCACCTATGCCAGGTCTTGGTGCTGGAGGAGGCTGGGAGTTAGCACAGAAAGAATTGGCTGTGTTGGATGGAAAACCACCCGAGTCCCACCCTCTCAGGTGCAATCAGGGCCACTGGGAAAAAGTGACTCTGTTGATCTAGTTTAAATATCTGCTTTGGGGCAAAAAAAATCACATCCAAGAAATGGTTTCTTCTCTCTTTCCTATACTAGCTCCTCTACAAACTTTCCTTTAGAGCTGATAGCAATTTAGTTTGTTGGTATTCTCTTATTAAATGCATTGATGTCTACTGTTTCATTAATTCATTTTCAGACACGCACACAGACATATGGACATTTTGCAGGATTTTACTAGTCAATTCACAGATTTAGACTTGCTCTTCTGTTGTTGGTGAATTTCCTTTTATCTTAATGAATCAAACATGTCCTAAAATTTATAATTATTTTTCTTTTGTACACACAATCTCTCATTTCCTAGTAAATTCAATTTACAAATGGAAAATATGCAGGCCACAACTTCTTAGAGTGTTCTAAAGAAATTGCTGTTTTCAGGCACAACTATTGCATGAAAAAAAAAAGCCACAGAACCAATATAAAAGTGTATTTGCTTGGGAGCACAGAGTACACAGCTGTGTGTTGCAACACAACCATCTGAACCACAAGGATTTCGTGCTTTTCAAACAACATTCATGACATCTGGGAAATATTTCTGCAAGAATAAATAGGCACACAATGTCCTGAAAGGTAAATGGCTCCTTGCTTCCCCAAAAATTTTACAAATCACTCAGCATAAGTTACTGGGTCCCTTTGGTGTAAAGAAAAGTGCTGTCATTTTTGTGCTGTTCTGTAGGCACCCTCAACCCCCTCTCTAGAAGTACTGCAGGTGGGAGATGGTAGAATCTTTTATATCAGATTTTTTGGGGTGGACAAGAGCCAAGAGCTGTCCCCAGCAGAAACACCCTGTGCAATGTGCATTGTGAGTCACATGGCTCACATGCAGGTTATATTTGCCTTACAAGTTATAAGGCAAATTACTTGGTTGTAAGTCAATCCTAAGTCACAGCCCAACTCACCCCTACCTTTTACTACAGCAGTCATGATTAAATATTTCCCTCTTAAGTGGAAAAAATGCATTTTTCTCACCCTCATGTCAGTTAAAGGTAGAGGTTGTAGTTTAAAAAAGCTAATTCTGCCCCAAGACTTTAAGGGATTTTAAGCCCAGAAAAGAAATGGAGGCTGCTTTCCCCTGTAATAGCAATGAAATAGAATCACAAACACAACCTCCAAGACCTGAGAAAGTGTGGCTGCAATACAAAATTGTAAAGACCTGAAGGAAAATATTTACCTCAAATGTGCGCAGGACTTTAGCCAATGCCCCAACTTCTTCTTTCAGAGAGAAAATCAAAGAAATCACACCATTTTTGCTGGGGGAGTCTTCAATGTAGCTAGATTCCTGAAAGGAAAGAAAAAAATATACAAACAAAAATTACTACCATTCACCCTAGGAGTCAGTTTTGCCTTTCTGCGTGTCCCTTTTGCGATGTAAAGAAGGTGTAAAACAGATCTGAATGGGAATCAAGGCAGATTCCCTGCTTCTGTGAGCAGCAGAGCAGCTCTGGGGCTGCTCTGATTTATGGTGGTAGAGACACAAACCCCTTCTCTCAAACTAGAGCCCTTGTGAGAGCAAGGTAGCCAAAAAGAGCATGCAAATAAACCTAAAGCCATCCTTGCCTCACCTCACCCCTCAGGGATGACTGGAGACATTCCTGCACTTTGGTTTCAGCTCCAGTGCAAAGTCCTTCCCTCAGGCTTCCTTTTCATCAGCACTGGGGGTTAAGCTGAGCAATGTGGATGAGCTCTGTGCAGAGATGCAGACCGTGGTCTGTGTTTCCCTTCAGTTCTGCTTGTACCTTCCAGATATCCCCAGGAGAGAGGTAGCATTCACAGGAAGGATATGGAAAGTGATTTTAAAACTAAACAACATCAAGCAAAGAAAATCAAAGAAAACAAAACGAGGAAAAATGTTGGAGCGAACATTTAGATGTTCCCTAAATCCCATAATGAGTAAAGACTCAGGGCAAGATGTGCTTTCATTTATGTTTGTTCTCTTTCTCTTATTGATTTTCTACTCTGCAAATTCCAAAAGGCAATTTCCAGTACTCTCAAAGGTTTATTTTCATTATTTTCACAGTTCTCATTACTGGAACGCCTTTGCATGTCTCTACATATGTTTCTTTTCATAAAAGCCCTGTTAAGAAGGGAAGAGTTATTTCACCCCTTCTGAAAGAGGAAACTGCGACCTGGAGTGGAGGCAAATCTTGAAAGCTGGGTACTTGGCATGGCAGGTAAATGCCTGCTGAGATTTCAACCACCTAATTTTTCTGATATCAGAGTTAATTTGATGTACAACCATCACAATCTTTTGCAGACTACATTGATGTATTATTTGGATGTTTATTCAATTTTTTTAACATCTACTGGCCTTGGACAAATTGCCTGTGGTTGTTATTTCAAAGATCACACCAGACATCTGCAACACAGGGGAGTTCTGGTGTAACAAGTCCTGGATTAAAGCTTGATTCAAGGTACCCATTCAAATATTCCTTATACAAATCTGTATTTTTGGGCAGAGCTTGCTCTCATTATGGCTATTGCTCAACTGAACATATAAATCAGAGCAAAAAGAGTCCCAGTTCCCAAATATTGTCCTCAGTAAAGATAGCCTTTGTAGAAGACAAATTAACAATCAAAGCCAGCTGCCCTGAAGCCATAAAGCTCTTGGTGGGTCTACATTTCCTGAGGCAGAGCTATGAAGAGCTGCCTTCTTTTGTAAAGTAAATAATTGCTGATTCTTCAAGCCATCTCCAAGGCTGCCTCCAAGGCTGCTGCTAACAGACTGGCCACACATTTTTCTGTCTGGCTTTGTTTCCAGAGGCTGCAAAGGTTTTCCAAAAACCAGCTGTATGAGGGACCTCTAGTGCAAACTGTAGTAGGAGTGCTGCCCCAGAAGGAAAATTGCCACCTGTTCAGTTGTGACACTTCCTGCAGCATCTCTGCGTCTCCTGAGTCCCCATGCAGCCAGGGAGTCAGCCCAGCTCTGACATGGGGAGGACCAAGAGGAAAAGCAGCTGGAAGTGATGTGTCAGCTGGCTAATGAAGCCCATTTACACCTCAAGCAACCACAAGGGAAATCGACGACAGGAGTCTGGCAAAAGCCAAAACAAATGTCTGTAGTACTGAAATTTTATGGTAGTGTGACCAAAACTGTCATCTCAAATACTATCCATGCATGGCTTTTTCCTTCTGTTTTCACCCACCACAGCCAAAACTGATCTCAAGGACGGAACTGGCTCCACCATTGTCTGTCCAATGGATCGAGACTTTGGTTTTCACTGTCTGCAATGAAACTGCTCTAAAAGACATGCAGCTTTATACTTAACATATTCTTGCCAAGTCATGCTGTGAGAACCAACTTATATGACAGATTGACTTGAATGTGTGTGACAAATAAAGAATTCATGGTTTGCATACTTGCAGGGGATATAGTGCAAAGTTGAAGTCCTGCAAGGTAATCCTGATGATAACAACTGATCTCTTTGTACAATGAGTTTAGACAAAAAAGCCTTAAAAAGCCTTTCCAAACTCATTGGTCACTAGCTTTGATTTGTTGAGATCAGCTGCTTTCAATCTGTCCTCAGTCATTTTCCCACTCTTGTAAGTTGATTTATATTGGTGCTTAAGAGAAAGACACATTGCAGTAGGGAGTAGGCACTAGTGCTGTAAACAGCATCATACTTGCTTAACTTCTTGCACATCTGCACCTCAGTTCCCTGGAAGGTCTTTTAACAAGCATCAGTCCATACCTGAGCCTCTCACAGAGGTGACATCCTTAATTGCAAAGAGGAAGAAGACTGAAATTATTGTTTTCCTGGTTCCTAATTCTTATCAGGATAATGGAGACAGCCTGCATCAATACAGGCTGCAGATAATAAATATCAACACATGCACTGGAGGTGACAGCAGCAAAAACAGAGGCACTCACATTATTGCTGAGCTTTTTGTACTTAAGCATAGCTTTAACTGTTGATCAGTTTTTCCATTCTCATTTTGGACTTTAACTTCTAGTCCCTCAACATACTTGAAGGAATTGCAGCTTTGGGGTAGTTTTACTGTTTTGTTACTACAGTGATTATGATTCAGTCAAAGAAACAATTTTATTAGGTTGAAATATTGTCTCTGTGATATGTGTATGTGATTTACAGTGTGCATAAATTCGGCTCTAATTTTCTTCCAGACCTGTTTTTTTTTTTTTCCAGGAAATAAAATGAGAACCAGTTGAAGGGGATGAACACCCATCCTGAATCTAAGACAGTCTCAAACAAAGTGTTATGTAGATGCAAGGATAGGTTTACCTGAGCACAAACCTGCATTTTTAGTTAGCCACATTGCACATAGATTAGTATTGCCATTCTGACACAGGTGGCAGCATTAGGGGTCAATATCACAATCCTGTCAGCCTTCTAATCCATTGCTGAGACATTTACCTAAAGTCCTTCCGAGTGAACTCCAACACTGGCAAAGCCAGAGAAAGTTTTTCTTGCAATTTCAGGGATATAAAATTTTCACCTCACTGATGTAATGCTCAAATTTACTAGATATGCAAAATGGAATTAGTTTCCAAGTCAGATTTCTTAAGGCGTTTAAATGCTTATCATGGCAGCCATCATTGGAACCAAGCAATTACACAACTTGGATAAGCAGCAAGGTGAGACTCTAGAGAAATACTGTGGGAGTTCAGCCTCAGCACACAAAGTAGGACTAGAGGCTTCCTTGGCATCACTGCTCTTATAAAAAATAGAAGCCCCTTTTTTTGCACGTCTGATGCAGCTTGTCTCTGACTTCAGCAGCATTACATAGGACAGAGAAGTGCAGAATTTTATCCTAATAATTAACCATGCTGGACTCAGGTTACATCACTTGCCCCTGCAGTAACATCAGTGCCTGTGTTTAAAAGGCATGAACTTCAGGTCCTTCCTGTATTTCCCAAAGCAAAGAGTTCAAAGTCAGTCAGTCAGTAAACATTAAAAAGAGAACAAGAGAGCCCCAAATTTAACAAAAAGCTACACCAGAAGAGCCCATAATTTCATCTGTTTTCCCTTAACAAAAGAAAACAGCTTTTTTTCATCACACACATTTAAGACCTCCAATAAGCTTCTGGTCTTTTTTGATTCTTTGTCTTTTTGCCATGTACACAAGGATACTTTTACAATGTTTGTTTGCATTCTCACTGCATTTTTGTGAGCACATTTAACAGCAGACAAATACAGGAGCTGCCAAAATTGCTCAGGTACTGCAAAGCATCATGACAAACCACCTTGATTCTTCCTCTCTTGGGTCACACTGCACCTCAGAGGGTGGAGGACAAGCACAGGAGTGCAGGAGTGAGGCAGGACGCCCCTCCACCTCTGCAAAAAGCAGGCACAGACCCCATCACTTACCTGGAAAGAGTCACCATTCATTTTGCAGTGCTGTGAGTCCATGTTGCAGAGCCAGCAATGCCCACACAGGGAGGCCCCTCCACTACAGCAGGTGAAGCCTTCTGCTTAACTGCAGTGGCCAGAGATCCGTGCAAAGGTATTTAAAGTGGAGCAGCCAAGGCAAAGCCATTCCCTTCCCCAGCTCCCTCCCCTGGACAGCGTGCCAAGGGGGCGTTCTCCCTGCACGCCCCCCCCACCCACCCCTGGTACACCAAGCTCCAGCCCGGCCATCCCCATGAGCCCCACGCCTGCGTGGAGCAGCTCTCCAGCAGATTGTTTCTGTCTGCACCCAGCGTGGAGGAGCAGCATGCTCCGAATTAGCAGCCTTCCTCCTCCTGATCAACATCAGCTGTTTTCATTTTGTCAAGTCAACACATGGTTTCCAGTTCAGCCTGCAGCCCGTTCCTTCCCCCTGCAGCTGCGCGTTCAGCCTCAGGTGGGTTTCACCTCGGGGTCACTCCCCTTGGACAGATATCAGCCGTCCTCCAGGATGTGTTCTTTGGATGTCAAATGTCAGGCACGGAAGGCTCTGGCAAGGCACAGCAGCTGAGGGATTTGTCCTTTAGCAGGACCTCTGGGGCTGCTTCCAAAGAGCTCAGAGAGCAGGAGACACCACTGAGCTTGCTGGACACTGGAGAGAGACAGCCAGCACAGGGGAAGCATGAGACAGGAGTTAGCAGCATGAACCTCACACTGGGATATGAGCCTGAGTATGAGGAAGGGGAAGAAGGTAAAGGAAGAAAAGGAGCAGGAAAGAGTAGATCAGAGCTCCAGGCAGGAAGATGTAGAACTGCAGGTGATGTGTTGTGCTCGCTTGTGGTGTCAGCCATGGAAAGCACAAGGGGAACAGGGTGGGACACATAAATGATTTCAGGAAAGGTTAGTAAAGTACTGATATAAGAGAGCCCAGATTTGGCTTAATAAGAGTCACCTAAAGGGGGTAAAGGAGATTGGAAAGCTGTAGCCCAATATCAGAAGGCAGGTGAAAAAATTAAGGAACTTGACAAGTATCTATCTTGCTATTTGGGAAAATGAAGTCTTACAAAGACAAACTGTGTCAAGGCAGGTGATCTTGCTATATTTTTATGATGAAGAGAATTCTCTTTACAGTTATTTTGTCCTTGAAGGAAGCTCTACTACGCACACCTATGCAAACTCATATTGGTGAACACTAGAAAAGACTTCCTGTAATTTTTTTCATACCTACCAAACCCAGCAGCCTTACAGTGGGGAAACTGAGTGGAACAATTTTCTTAGTTCTTACTGTGGAGTCAGAATCCATCCCACTGAAATGATCAATTATATAACAGGCATCTGAAGTGACTCTGTGCTTTGGGTGCAAATACGTACCTTTTTCAGAAGAGCTGCTTCTTTGTGCATGCTGAAACTGCCTGTAGGGTAGAAAGTTATTTCTGAAGTGATCAGCAAGCCTGTGGTATGGGCAGGCAGGTCAAGATAGCCAAATGCACACGAAACACACTGGATCCTGCTCACATGGCGGTAGGATGGGGCAAGGAAAGGCAGAACAGAGGGGGAAAGTATCCCCAGTAATTGCCAGCAGTAGAAAAACTACTGGGTTTTTAACTACTGAGCCAGTAAATTCATTATGGTAGCCAGTATTTTGTGTCCTGTGTTTGTGCAGCACAAGGCACAGCCCTATCCATGATAGGGAGACTGAAGGCCACCTGGGAAAAAAATAACAGTGAGATGAAGATGGTGACAACTCTGATTATAGCCCCTGTGCAGGACAAGACAGACTCCAGAAATTGGTCTTGTTTACTTTCCCCGTACACCATGTCTTGCCATCTGGTGTATTTTTCAGTGAGATATAATATTCTCTCCTCTGCTTGTGCCTTCCTCTTTCTTTCCTTATTCCTTCTCTTCTGACTAAGCTTTAATCTCTCTTTTACTTCTTTATGTCTTTTACATGCTTTTGGTCTTCGTTCCTTCCTTTTCTCCATCCCTTTTCTTACATGTGTAAGAAACAAAACTCTACCCAACGGTAATGGCAAGAAAAAGAGAAATATCAAATACCTAAAGTACTGCTCATGTCAAATCTGTACAATCATCTATTTTGCCTCCTACCCCCTGCTTTTTTGTATTTATTTTGCAAAATTTTTTTGCAATTTTTTTCAATATTTTTGCAATTTTATTTGCAATTTATTTATTTTATCTCTCACCCTTGTTGTTACACAATCCTAATAATATCACCAGTGTATTACCACCAATTCACTGTTTGATCAGTCTGCACTGTCAGAGGTTGCTTTGTAGCAAAAGGCACTGGCTGAAGGAAAAACAATTCTATCTTGCTAGGAGGAATTCCCAGTGTCTCTTGTTTTGGAGCAAAGTGGTGTGTGGGTGTGTGTCCCCAGTGACGTTACTCTTGGAATGTGCAGTTGCATCAGCATCTGTTCCCTTGGGCCATTTCAGAGTCCAAACTGCTGGATTTTCCCTGTCCTCTCTGAAGCACTACTTCAGCCTACCAAGCATGGGTTCATCCCCCTGCAGCGACACTGCCAACCAGGTTTCCCCACTTGGGTTTCAAGCTTCTTCACATGCTTTATTCCCTGGCTTGGCTTTAAGTCTGTCAGTCCTGCTCTGGGCTTTTGCTGCTGACCGAGCACCCCCTCTCCTTTCAACGATATGCAGATATGCACTGATGTGCCACCTTGCCTTTGCCTAAACACACGTGTTCTCCTCCAAAACACGCTTTCTTTGGGTACACACACCCACATGCACACACCACACGTAGTCCTTTCTGGCTGTGCTCTCAGCCACAGCTCACAGGGCTCTTTGCACTGAAGCTGGCAAGCTCCCCTGGCCGGCGCGATGCGAGTTCAAGAGGCCATGGACTTTGGCTGCTTTTCAGACTGCTCTTTGCCACCCGTTTGCAGAGTGGCAGCTTCCCTGGAGCTCTGAGTCTTTGTGTCTGGGCAAGGATGTCCCTTCCTGTGCCAGGACACTGGGCCTATCCTTGGCCTGCAGCTCCCTGCTTCCCTGCTGGTTCAGGATGCCCCAGTGCACCTGAGGGTGCAGTAAGCAGTGGAAGGAGAATTTTCTAATGAAGACAGAAGCTGGTGGAAAAATTCCCAGATGAGGATTCCACGAGTGTCTTAGGTGGTTTGTGTGTGTGTGCATGGGAGGGGGGCATCCCCCTTACCACCATCGTGCGTGCATTTACCAGAGATCTCAGGGTGCTGTAGCTCTCCCTACACCCCAGACAGACAGACAGACAGCATTTCCTCGCACGTCCCTCTGCATCGTGCTGGCAAAGCCACCAGCCGTATCCCCTCTGACGGCAGAGCCGGGCTCCCCGAGGCCTCAGGGCTGCGCCCCATCCCTCTCCGGCCGGATTTCCCCGGCTCCCTCCCTCCTGGGCCGGGTGGCCGGGAGGTGGCACTGTGTCCTCACGGCAGAGGCGGCTGGCGGCGGCGGGGACCCCGGCTGTCCCTCTGCCTGCCCTCCCCGGGAATAGCGGGGGATCCGCTTGCCAGCCTGCGCAGGCATCACCCAAACCTCTCCTACCCCTCCTGCCAGGGGACCACCGCTTCGGAGGAGCCGGGAACAACCCACCCTCCACCCAAAATATTCAGCTCTCCAAAAAGTGGCGCTGGGGGTATGCGGGAGGGCAGCCCGGTGTGATTTATCCCCCGGGGCTCTGACAGACGCACAGCTCGTGGCCGCACAATGGGGCCACCCGGCAGAGCGGCAGCGAAGGGCTCCGCTCCGCGGGCGCGGAGGGCAGGGGAGCAGCGCCCGCGGGACCCGCGGAGCTGCGGAGGGGCGAGCTGGACGGGGCCGCGGGAAAAGCTGCTCCGGTCCAGACCTGTTTTTTTGGGGTTTTTTTGGGGTTTTTTTTTGTTTTTTTTTTTTTGTTTTTTTCCTTTTTTTTTTTTTTTTTTAGCCCTATATGCAAACTGTCACTTCAGGTTAGCACAAGACCTGATGTAGCTCATTAGCATGAGCTGTATCTAATACGCTTAAAACCTCTAATTATTTATTATGCCCTAATTGGCAGCCCAAGAAATGTCTGCAAAGTGATGAGTGTTCATCCCAAGACGCCTTTCGAGGGGAATTCAGCAGTGTCCCTGGTCAAACGTCATTTTTAATTCTTCACTGAGGCACAGGCTTTATTCCTCTTGTAGACGATACAACCCCAAGAAAACTGGAACTTGCTACCCCGATAACCCACCTTCTGCACCCTGGGCAGGGTGGTCAACAATTAATCAAGAATAAGGTTTCATGGTTAAGTTATTTCTATAAAGGGACGCTTAGGAAGAGGCATTAAACTTTATCAACTATCCAAAAGTGCAAACACACGGTCCTTAAAAATTACTTACCCAAGGAACCATCTTACCTTTTCAGGAGAAAATCTATTTCCTGACTTCTGAAAGTAGCAAATGTCGAAAATTATATTCACATGCAAACTGTTTCAAAATAAGTTTAACTCTGTGGGGTTGACCCCCCCCCACTCCACTCAAAGTGCCTTTTTTTTTTTCCCTTCTAAGTCTGTATTATGTTTCTTCAGGCCGCACCAACTATTTATTTATCTTTATTCTTTCTCTCTTTCTTTTCATTCATTATTCTCTCTCCCTCTCTTTTTTCCCCCCTTCCTTGTGTGTGTGGCTTCTCGGTCTGATCTGTAGCTTGTTACCACCCACTGCACGCTCTCTCCTGCAGCCGAGGTGTTTCTATACAAACTTCAGCGTCCAGTTGTCATATTAATTATTACACTGAGTAATGACTGAAATAGTCAAAATAAGGGGAGACTCAAGAGAGCTTTTTCTTGCTGCTCAAAGATTCAGCAAAGAAGCCTTGCAACAAAGCACTAATTGGTCCCCAGAAATACTCTGACAAGGCATGGAAGATAGGTTTCATAAAGCCCAGCAATTGTGAAGGGGGAAAAGATCCTTGAATAGACCCCACGCTTCTTTTCTAAACTCTCTTGCTGAGCAAAAAATGGACTGCTTCTTGAATACTGGACTGATCTTGAATGCTATACCCAGCAGAGAAAAAAATGCACCATTTATTGTAAGTTTTTTTCCAGCTATTCATGTGTTCTATGTGGAGAATAAGCTGGTTTTGTTTACCATGAAAGACCTTTTACTTTATTTTCACTCTTGGGGGGGAAGCTGGAAAGGCGAGGGGGAGGGCGAGGGGAGGGAGAGAAACACATGTGCCCAAATCCAGACGAGCTGCCTACTGTAACAAAATGGAGTGTAACAAATCCTACAGAAGTCCCGAATGTATCGATTCTTTGAAGATCTATATAGATTAACGACTTTCGTTCTGCTTTTCCAAGACAGCATTTAATCATAACGTAAATGGCCTTTAAAAAAGAAAAGAAGTGGCAAGATAAAAAAAAAAAAAGGCCTTAAAAAAAAAAAAAAAGGGGGAAAAAAAAAAAAAAAAAAAAAAAAAAAAAAAAAAAAAAGCATACCAGAGCTGTTGGTTTGGGGTTTTTTTGGTTTTTTGGTTTTTTGTTTTTGTTTTTTTTTTAAAGGCAAGGACTTCAAAAGGCCTCATGAGTATGGCTACAATTTAGGCACAAAAAAAAAGTCACCAGAAAATAATGGCAGTTCAAGATTTAAAAATAAATAAATAAATAAATGAAGACTGAAGTAAAAGTGCCAAATGAAAAGGGCAAGGGCTATTTATCATTATATTAGAATTAAGAATTTCAAAGCGCAGGTGCAGGACTGTGCATAGGAGTGAGTGGAGGCGGGGGACCTTGGAACAATATTTATTATCTAGAAATCTGGTCCCTAACTCTGCACAGCGAGCACACAGAGGGGCTGGTGAGATTGGAGTCACCTCAGACATAACGGGTGAGTTCGGTCCCCGGGGGCAGTGAGAGGAAAGAGAAAAAGGAGGAAAAGGCTCTGCCCCCCTCATCCATCCCTCACACAAACACGTACCGTGACCCAGGGTGGCCAAATGGGCACAGGGCCACAGAGGCACAATGACATGAGTTACTCTTGGTGACCTCTGGGACTCGCAGTTTTTGCCTTTTTAAGAGCCCTCTGAGACTGGAGAAGAAGGGACCCAGAAACTCCAGTCTTATTCTGCCACTTCCAGGAAAAAGGGCAGGAATGTCCCTATGTGGTATTTCTGCACCCGTTCTGGAAGCAAGCTGATCCAGAAGAATCAGTCTGTTTGAACATATATATGCAATGACTGCAATGACTTTGATATTTCTGTTAGCACTTCCCAAAGTCATAATGCAGAGCTGGTGGTGCAACAACTGCTTCCAGTGCAGTCTGTTCTGACACCAGACAAGGGATTTTGAACAAACCACCCAGGAGACCTGGAACTGAATAGGGAGAGCTTCCCAAACAGGAAATACAAGCAAACATTTTATCCTGCTAAGGTCTGGCTGTCCTGCCCAAGAGTGGATAAAATAAGTTAAAACATCTCCCATGTGATGAGACAGTAGGCTAGAAGTCAGAAACTGGTCCGTGATCAGTGAAGTGGTCCCAAAATAAATATGACCACACAGAACTACTTCACATTTTTCATCACATGTGCTGAAAAGCCAACATGTTAAAAAAATTATACAATTACCAGCTAGCAGGTGCACATTGAGGTTCTCCTGTGCTATGTTTCTGGTTAGCACTATTTTAACTCACACACACAGCCAGGGTCAGAGATCCAGATGAGAAGAACTGATTTCTAGAGCTACAGACTGCTGTAATTGAGGTCGACAACAGTACAGGGCTTACTTTTGCAGTCATTTCCACTGAAACCTTAACATGGACTGTGCAGGTCCCCTCCTTCCATGCTTTGGAGCCTGTGTGAGTACCAGGGATTAAAGCCACCTACCAGGGACTTCCTAGAGCCATAATATCACCATGGCAAGGCTGTCGTACCATGGCTCTGCTCTTTTTTGTGGGCTAGAGAGCACACACATCTGAGTTTACAGAGTGGAAAGGCGCAGAGAGAACTGAGACAGAGTAGAAGGTAGAAAATGTGCTAAAGATTTCAGAAATACATGGATATGTGAAAGGCAGAGGGCAGGGTGAGAATGCCAAGATCAACATCCTCCAGTGCTGGACCTGGTTGTGCACCTCTGCAGCTCCAAGGGTCAGTGTGACCCCCAAAGCACACCAGCCCCAAACTCCCAGCACCTCAGAGCTGCTTTGCCTCATTCGGTCCTGAAGCACAAGTGAGACTTCACCTGAAAGCAGTGATAATTTCCCCTGCATAGGCCAGCTCCAACCTGACTCCCCAGTTATGAGCCAATATCAATGCCCGCTTGGAAAGCTGGTGCCCCACTTCCACGTTGCAGGATGCCACGGGAGGAGCAGGGTCAGTGGCTTTCCCGGGCCCAGCAAGCAGAAATGGCCTGGGAAATGGGATCAGGCAGTGAAGGGTGGGCTGGCTCCACACCTGCCAGCTCTGCCCAACACACCCTTACTTTATGAGGCAATCCTCCTCCCTTCCCGTGCTGGGACGTGCCCGGGAGCGGTTTGCTCTTTCTCCCCTGACAGGCTGATCCCGTGGTGATCAGCATTCCCGAGGGGTAATTCGAGGTGACTTCTCCCGAGAAGTCTCTACCCTGCTCCGCTCTCAGCCGCCCTCCTCCTGTCACCCAGCCCGGCTCACCGCGGCTGTCGCCGGCTAATAGAGCCATCACCAGGCGGCCCGCGGGGCCTGTGCGGTGCCGGGCGCACGGCGGGGCTCGGGCACTCATGGAGCTCGGCATGGCAGCGCTCGGCGGGCTCCCGGTTCTCTAGGAACAAGGAGGAGCCGAGCTCCCGCACACGGAGTTTCCCCGGACGCGTCCCGCAGTGGCGAGGGCGCTTCTCCCGCCTGCCCACGCCGCGGGCGCCTCCGAGCCTCCACATCCCGCCCAAGCCCAGGCAGGAGCCGCTGAGGCGGCCCCAGCAGGGGATGCCCCGCACACCCGGGGCTTCGCCGGGAGTCACCCTCAGCGCGATCCGCACCCCGTCTCGGACGCCCCTCGGCGGGCAGAGCTCCCGGGCGGCGGGGGGAGGCGGGGCCGCGCGGCCGGCAGCGCGCGTGCGGCGGGGGGCGCGGGGGCTGCTGTGCCTGTCTGTGCGTCTGTCTGTCTGTCTGTCTGTCTGTGAGTGTGTGTGTGTGTGCGCGCGTGTGTGCCCCGCGCTGAAAAGGCCGCAGCGCTCCGCGCATCGCGCGGCCGGCAAAGCGTGGAAGGCGCAAGGTGCAGGGGGTGCGTGTGCGTGTGTGAGCGCGGGGGGTGGCGGGGGGAGGTTTGCCTCTCTCTGTGTGTCTCTGTGTGTGTGTGTGTGTGTGTGTGTGTGTGTGCGTGTGGGAGAAGGGGGGGGGGGCGAGCCCCGTCCGCCCCTTATAAGAGACACAATCCTCAGCCACTTTTTTGCAAAAGGGGCTTTGCAAAGCAGCCTGCGCACACGCGAGCGCCACGAGCCTCCCCGCGGCCGCCGCACGGAGGGCGAGAGGGAGGGGGGCGGGCAGAGCCGCCCGCCGTCCCCGCCGCCCGCCCGGCTCCGCCGTCCGCTCCCGTCGGTCGCCGCTGTCCCTTTCCCCTGCCGTCTGTCGCCTAGCTCTTTTTCTTTTTTTTTTCCTATATATTTCTTTTTTAATTTTAAATTGAACGTCGCAAGTTTTTCCTTTTTCTCTTTTTGAATTTTTTTTTTTTTTTGTGGTGGTGGTGGGGGTACGGGGACCGGCCGTCCCTCGGGCGCCCCCGCCTCGCAGGACGCCCCCTCGCCCATGGCCAGCGGCAGCCCCGCCAGGATGTCCAGCGCCGCCGGGCAGCCGCCCTTCCTGCAGCCGGCGTGCTTCTTCGCCGCGGCTGTGGCCGCCGCCGCCGCCNGCCGCCGCAGCTGAGCCCGGCGGGCGGGCAGCCCTCGCCGGGCGGCAAGCCCTCGGCGCCGCGGGCGGCCAAGCGGCAGCGCTCGGCCTCGCCGGAGCTGATGCGCTGCAAGAGGAGGCTCAACTTCAGCGGCTTCGGGTACAGCCTGCCGCAGCAGCAGCCGGCCGCCGTGGCGCGGCGCAACGAGCGGGAGCGCAACCGGGTGAAGCTGGTCAACCTGGGCTTCGCCACGCTGCGGGAGCACGTCCCCAACGGCGCGGCCAACAAGAAGATGAGCAAGGTGGAGACGCTCCGCTCCGCCGTCGAGTACATCCGCGCCCTGCAGCAGCTGCTCGACGAGCATGACGCCGTCAGCGCCGCCTTCCAAGCGGGCGTCCTCTCGCCCACCATCTCGCCCAGCTACTCCCACGACATGAACTCCATGGCGGGCTCCCCCGTCTCCTCCTACTCCTCCGACGAGGGCTCCTACGACCCGCTCAGCCCCGAGGAGCAGGAGCTTCTCGACTTCACAAGCTGGTTCTGAGCGCCGGCCGCCCTCCCGGCAGGTGGGTAGGCGCCCGCGGAGGGCCGGGGGATAGCGGGAGGATAGCGGGAGGATAGCGGGGGGATAGCGGGCGGACAGCGGGGGGATAGCGGGGGCGGGGGCTGCCCCGCGTGTCCCGCGGTGCTTCCGAGCGGCTCTGCGGCCCGACGGCTCTGATCGCCTCTTTCTTTTATTGTTACAGGACAGTTGCAAAAGGGAAAAAAAAAAACTCAACACCAACAGAAACCAAAAAAAAAAAAACCCACACAAAAGCAGATCACACACAGAGAGACAAGAATCCACGCGAAAAAAGAACCTGTTGCGTTTCCAGTTCCCCTGCCGTCGGAGGGCGGTGCGGGCACGTCTCTCGGCGGGCGGGCCGCTCGGGGCGGCCGCCCCCGGCCCCGGAGACCGGCCGGCCTTTGAGCTCCGTCGCCCCGGCTGGCCGGCGGGGAGCCCCGGCTGGCCGGCGGGAAAGGGCGCTGCGCCCCTCGGCCGGCGGAGGAGCTCTTCCTCCTCCTCCTCCTCCTCCTCAGCAGAAAGGCGGCCCATCTCCGCGCCTCGCCGCCGCCGCGGCCCTTCAGAGACTGGCGTTCATCACCTGCGGACAAAGTTTAGTTTTCCCGATGTCTGGGGAGATGCTGAAGTTAAGCTATGCTGTACTCAAAGAAGTCCCTGGAGCCCCATCTGCCTTCGGCCTCCCCGTGCCTCTCCCTCCCCTCGATCCGAGCTTTTCCTCTTGTTTCCATCATAGAATGCTTCCAATCTTTTTTTTTTTTTTGTGAATTTTTTTATGATAAGAAAATCTATTTGTATCTATCCTAACCCGGTTGGGGATATATTAAGCTATTTTTGTACATAAGAGAGAGAGAGATTTATAGAGGTTTTGTACAAATGGTTTAAAATGTGTATATCTTGATACTTTTTTTAATATGTAATGCTTATTACCTCTTCATGTTTAGACTTGTAGTCAACGTTACCTTACAACTGCCATTTTTGTATGTGGTTTTGTAAAGGACTTGGATTTCCTCCAGATGTACTTTAGCACCAATGTGTCTTACTTTATAGAAATTTTGTTAATGTATTAATAATGTCATTAAACAATGTTCAGAGTGAACAAAGTTTATGCAGCGATTGTCCAAACACAGAACGGTAGCCATTTGTTCTCATATGCTGCCTTTTGGGAAAAAGAAAAAAAAAAGGAAAAAAAAAAAAAGAAAAACCAGACAAGCAAACAAACAACCCCACCACCACCACTGCCTTTTCTTACTGTTTTATTACAAACTGACAAAGGTCCTGTATAACCCTATTTTATACAAACTAGTTTCGTAATAAAACTTTTTTTAAATTAAAATGATCAGCTGCCTACCGCATGCAATTTTTTTTCTTTCTGTCATTGACAACGATGAATGTAAGGACAGAATGTCAATCGATGTTATACCCGAGCTGAGTTGCATATGAAGTGTTTGTACCTGATGGATGTAACATATATATCTTTATCTATCTCTATATAAATATGCAAAGATCTAGCGCTATCAGCATTGTTTTCTTGCCCTTCTGTGTTGCAAATGCGTATCCAAATCAAAAGGAGAGGGGATGATTAATGATTGCATTGTCCTTCCTGAAATCACTGCACATTACAGAATTCCTCCTAAAGCCTTAGAGTCTTAAAAAAAGAGGGCGCTGCATCCCGCGTTTGGGGATGTGGTGTGACCCTGTCCTCCTCCGCGGCTCTGACCCAGCGGGGCAGGAAAACACGGGGGATGGCACAGCCGCCGCCACCCAAAACACGGGGCGCTGTGTTGCCTCTGCGAACGCTGCCTGGGTAAATAAAAGCGTCGCGGGGAAGACGGGAGGCGAGAGGAGAAGGGAGATAAAATTAAATAAATAAAGGGAGTAGTAGAAATTGGTGGCAGCGTAGAGCTATTGGTCTTTCCAAACTTGTTATTCTGCCCAAATAGCGTGATCTGCCTGTAAAAGTACCCAATTACCAAGACTCAAAAAGAAATTGGACTCTTCCCCCCATTCCCTGCTTTTTTTTTTTTTTTTTTTTTTTTTTTTTTGGCTAGCCTGCTTGTTGTCAGTTAGCAAGGACGTGACCAGAATTCGCCTTCTTTTCGCCTGGCTCCTGCATCACTTGCAAATTCAGTTTGCGTGCACCAAGCCAAGCGGAAAGCAAAGCTCAAAATGCATCTTACAGAAAAAAAAAAAAAAAAAAAAAAAAAAAAGCCAAAAAAAAAAGAGCCAAAAAAAAGATCCAAAAAAAGGACTGAGGAGAGCCAGCGTGTCGTACGGAGTTAAAAAGGAAAAAAAAAAAAAAATAGTCCGCTCCGCTACAAATGTGCCGTCGAGTTGAGAGGGATGCGCTATTTTTAAAAAAGAGGAGGGAAAAACTTTGGTGGAGGAGCCCGGATTTTTTCCTCTGTGTGTGTGTGTATGTGTAACTATAGACAGGTAGATATAGATATAAATATATATTTGTATGCAGGGGCATATATGCATATGCACACATGGGCGCTTACACGTGTGTATTCCTGCATTGCTTCTAAAGCATACACACGTTTGTCCCTTCGCCTCCTCCCCCCACGCCCTGAAATGATCAATACGTGATTTAATCGCGGGCGGGGAGGCAGGAGGAGGAGGGGGAGGACGGGACGGGAGGACGGGACACTGTGGGGTCACGAAATCCCTCATTACTTTAGCACAAACACTCATTGTTTTAACCGCTCGTGGAACTAATGTTTAGTTATGAAAATAATAACCGTTATATGCCGCCGTCCGCTCTCCCTTTACAGCATCTCCCTTTTTATTTACCCACTTTTGCAAGTGCACAGATAAGGTATGCAAAGAAAGTGTAGCGAGTAATTTATAGCTATGAATATAACATTAGGATAATGTTTCATTCTGTTACAAAGGCGAAATTTCTCTTCCTTGTGTAGACAGGTGTTCTTTTTTGCTCACTTCTGAATAGTAAATATCCAGACTCATTAAACTAAAGGCAAAGTTACGCTGTTGTTCGCTACAATGTATAAGACAGGCTCAGAAATTCACCACCTCCTCCCTCCCTCCCTTTTCCCCTCAGCCCCCTCCAGAAAGAAAGAAAGAAAGAAAGAAAACACACACACACAATTTTACTGAAGATAGGGAAAGGGCAAAGCAGGATTGGCGTAAATCTCATTACATCTGCTCTAATCGCTTAGCAACACAAAGCCTTTTCTTGTATTAGCGCGGAGAGCCTTTCAGCGCTGCCTGACAGACAGTATTCAGTTAGCATTAGTAAACTCCATGAATCAGGGACTTCTTTGGGCGCAGTATAAGTTTTAGAACTACTCGGGATTTGCTTGGGGGTGGGGGAAGAGGAGCGGAGAGGGGATATGCGGGCAGACGAAGGTTGCTCGGCCACGGATTTATTAATTTATCCACCTGTGCGTTTATTTATCGTAACGCACGAAAACTGTCCCGTCAACAAACGCCTCTCCCAGAGTGAGTGCCGTCCCCCAAGCCAAGACCCTCGGGCAGGAGGGCAGCCCGGCGATGCCAGCGGCTTGTGGGCTCCCCACACCACGGCCCGCGGGATCCGCGCCCGCGGAGCCGGGGGGAGCCGGGGGGAGCCTGGGGTTTACCCGCACTCCCCATCATTCCTGCTCCCCACAGTCCCCCCGTGGTGCTATCCTATGCACGAACTTTTCTCCGCGCGCGGAGCAGCGCCGGCCCCGCGGAGCCTCCGCGCCCTGCGCCCCTCCCGCGCAGGTAAGAATGGAGGGGGAAGCGCTCCAGGCCCTGTCCCCGGGAAGGGCTGCGGGCACCCCTTGGAGCCTCCTACAGCGCCCAGCCCTCCTCTCACCTTCCCCGCAGAGAGGCGCCGACCCGCACCCAGCCCCGCACCCAGCCCCGCTAGCACCGGCTTTTGGGGATCCCGGGGGGTTCATTCCCTGTTCTAAAAACCTTTTCTCCCCCACCTCTCTTTTTCCTTTTTTTTTTTTTTTAATTTGTTTATTTGTTCCTCCTCCTCCTTCCTTTTCCCTGGCTGCCCCTCCCCGCGGCGCAGGTCCTGCCTTTTGTGCGCGGGGGCAGGCGGGGGGGCCGGGCAGGCAGCGGGCAGCGCTGTCCCCGCGCGTGTCGTGCCTCAGCCTTTATCCCGGCGGCGGCGNNNCGCCGCGCTCCGCGCCGCGCTGCCCGGGCCGGGCGGCGGCCGGGGCCCGCAGCACGCGAGGGGAGCGGGCACCTGCCCAAGGGAAAGGCGGGCGCGGCCGGGGGCACACACACACACACACACACGGGACGCCCCGGCGCGCCGCTCCGTAATGCAGCGCGTATTACTCAGTGCATTCAGGGATTAGCTCGGCTTGAAGTGTGGGGCGATTCTGCGTCTCCCTGCTCCTCGCCTTTTGGAAAGGGGAGAGGGGAGAAGCGTTCCCCCCCGCCCCGGTCGCCCCCCGCCCCCCGGTTCGTCCCAAAGCTCAGCAACTTCAGCTCCCAAGCGAGCCAGCTCTTAGCGTGTCAAACCGCACAATGCGGGGCTAATTCCTGCTGCAAAAGGCAAGTGGTGAAGAATCAATCGCAGGCTTTATACAATCAAAAGGGATGATGGGCTTGGGGTTGCAAATTATTTTTTTTTTTTTAAGTTCCCTACCCCAGTCTGAATTTCTCCTGCTCCTTACCCCCGTCCTATCAATAATCCCATGCAGGCGATTGCAGACCGAGGTAAAGCTATCATTTGTATGCGCCTGAAGATTAATTTCCCCCATGTACCAACTCAACGGCATAGTTATCTCTTTAACAGGGAAAACAGTTTGGCTCCATTGTCGGGTTGCCAAGACCGCCTTTTGAGAAAGGGAGCCCGGCTAGCCTCTGATCAAACTCAAAGGTTAGTTAAAAGACAAAAACAGCTGAAAATCTTCATGAATAATGCTGTTTCCCCGAGCCCAGTGTAGTGCAAGCGCACATTTCAATGCCAGAGCATTTTGTTATGCTGCTCGCCTAAGTCAGAATTTCACAGAAAAGGCAGAGAAGAAAAGCTCCAACAATTAGAGGGGGCCTGTCAGAAAACATTAACGCCTTCCTCGCCCAGCCTGTCAAGCGTGCTGGAAATAAAAAACGGGCATAGCGAATCGCACCTCCACCCTCCGGAGCTGCAGGAGGGAGAGGGAGGGGGAGTTAGGGACAGAGAAGTAAAGAGAGAGAGACAAATGGACAGGCCCAGGCAGTTAACAGTCCCC